TTCATGATCCATGCCTTAATGAGACCAATTTTACTTCATTGTCAAGAGATATATTCATATATACAAGGCTAAAATATGGTTTCGTTTCACTTAGTTGAACATGTGTGACATTGGTTAATATTTAAACAAGTGTGGTCGAGAATTTATTACACAATGTAAAAATAATAATTTCCGAGATATATGTAATATTAAAAGCAAGAATTTCGATCAGTTCCAAATTTTTTTTCTTTTGAATTCTTCCAATTTAACTTTTTTACTCATATACATTTTGAGGTTATGTTTGCCTCTTATCCGTTGTTATTTTAATTGTTATTCTGTTATTTTCCTTGTTTTACTTATATACTATTGTTATTTTATTTTTCACGTCTTTTTTGACCTAAAATTTCTACCACCTTAAAATTTTTGACCTACATTTTGAGGTTATGTTCGTTTCTTATCGAATAACTTTAACTATGAAGTTGATATTTAATTTTTTTTTTTGTTTTAATTGTTATTCTATTTGTTTTACTTTGACCTAAAATTTCAACCTACTTAATTTTTTTGACCTAAATTTTGAGGTTATGTTCGCCTCTTCTCCAATGACTTTAACTGAAGTTAATGTTTAATTGTTGTTTTTATTTAATTATTATTCTGTTATTTTCCTTGTTTTACTTATATACTATTGTTATTTTATTTGTCGCGTCCCCCTTTGACCTAAAATTTCTACCTCCTTAAATTTTTTTACCTTTATTTTAAGGTTATGTTCGTCTCTTATAAAATACCTTTGACCTAAATTGTCCTTTTAGTCTAAATTTTTTATAATTATTTCATTATAATAGGAAACTACTATGTGTTACGTTAAAAAACGCAAATTTTTGAGGTTATTTTTCCCTCGACCTATTTTTATTGACCTACAATTTTTACATTATTGTTAATTTAAATTTAAACCTCTATTTGAAAATTATATCATCCTTTTATTAGACAATAATATTTATTATACTAAATATTAAGTTGCCTACATTTTCAGTGTCTGGTTTTAAATTTAGGTCAAAACTTCACAAAATTAGGTCAAATTATTGTTAGACTCTATGGAACATAAATGAAAGTGAAAAATCAGTTTATTTACAAGTATTTTGTTAAAATGGGAAAAACTAACAAGAGTTCGACCTAATTTTTCGACCTGTTTTGACCTAAAATTAAAATCTGATGCTATATTATTATGGAAAGTAATGTAAAAAATTTAGTATCTATTAATTTTGTTAAAATGAAAAAGCAAATAAGAGTTTGACTTAATTTTTTGAGCTTTTGACCTGTTTTGACCTAAATCTAAAATCTGTTGCTACATTACGTAAAGAAATGTAAAAAAATCATTTTTTATTTAATTTGTTAAACTAAAAAAAGTAACAAGACTAAGAATTAGCAAAGAAACCAAGAATTTGACCTAATTTTTTTAGAACTTGACCTGTTTTGACCTAAATTTAGAACCTGACACTATATTTCGATATGCAATGAAAAATCTGTTTATTTACGTATTTTGCTAGAATAAGAAAAAACTGTTGAAATTTTGACCTCATTTTGACGCAAATTAACCTTGTTTGACCTAAATTTTAAACCTAACACTAACCAAAAAAATGTAAAGGAAAGTAAAAAATAAAGTAAAATATTAGTTTATTTAAAAATATGTATTTTGGTTAAAAAGAAAAAAACCAACAGTTGTTTCACCTTCACTTGAGACGTTTTGACCTTTTTTGACCTAAATTTTCTGCTTGGAACTATGAAACGAAAAGTAAAGTAAACATTAAATGTATTTGTATTTTATATTAGTATAATAATAGCTAACAAGATTTTGACCTAATTTCGTGAATTTTTGACCTATTTTTGACCTAAAATTAAAATCTGACACTGTAGAACATAAAATTATAAAAAATTTAGCTTAATTTTAAATTTTTAAAAATTTAAAATTGAATGAAACTATGAAGAATTATGATGAGAAAAGTTATATTCTATTTAGGTCTACTTAGGTCAATTTTTTCCCGAATTTCAAAAATATTATAACTTACAATATTATTAGCACGTTCAATATCATCTGTAAATTTTTTTTTATAAAGACACAAAATTTACTCCACATTTTCCTTCAAATGATGATTACATCTATTTAAAAAAAAATCATCTTTTTCTTCTTAACATTAATATATACATTATATAAATGTTTCATTATTAATGTGAACACTTGTGTCATTAAACAATGTCAAAATATGTAAACAGTTTCTGTACGTCATTTATTTTTCAAAAGACGCCTTAAAAATTGAATCTTTCATCTTCTTTCTTTTTTGTTTACATAGGTGAAGTTTTTGGGGAGAAAAACATTCGTATTTTTTTTTTTTTTTTTTTTTGAAGATAGATATAATTAAAAATTCTGTGACGAATTAGAGCAGTTTTGTGTTTGTACATGTAGGAAATTAATTCAAAAATATTAAATTAATTTTAACATTATTTATGTTAATTCATTTGTATGAATTAATGAATTGAATAATAAAAAAATTAATTAAGTTGATAAACAATAAAAAATTCATAAATAAATAAACAATAAAGAAAATTAATAAAGGAATCAATAAATAAACAATAGAAAAATTATAAACAGATAAACAATAAAAACTAATAAATAAATAAAAGAAAATTAATAAATAATTAAACAATAAATCATTAAATTTCATAAATTAAAATAAACAATATAGAAATAAATATAATAATAACAAATAATAATAATAAAAAAAATAATAATAAAAAAAAAATAATAATAAAAATAATAATAATAAAAATAACAATAAAAATAATAATAGTAATCATAATAGTATTCATAATAATAAGAAAAAATAAAATATTGGTTAAAAATACAAAAACTACTAAAACCAACAATATTTAAAAAAAAACTAATTTTTTTTATATTATTAAAAATTACGTCTTAAAATTTAAAAAGAAAATATTCGTCTTACAATATTGCAAAAAAGCTGTAAACAAACTGATAAAATATTTTAAAATCATCTTGGCTTAAAATTGATTAGAAAAAAATATAGGTCATTCTAAAAATTATGCTTAATTACATTGTAGGTATTGACAAAAATAATAATTCATAAATGTCAAAAATCGTCGTATAATAAATTGAACGTTGAAGAAAATATAATATATATAATTTCAGAGATAATCAATCGCACCTTTCAAATTACCATTTTATTTAGTGCCATACACTTGTCATTTGATAACGTATTGGTATACGTCTTTCAGTACATTCGTCTAATCGAAATTCATAAAACTGATGGAAAAAAAAAACTATTTCGCAGAATTTTTTTTTCTTTGAACGAATATGCGTTAAATTTTTAATAAATTCTTTTGCTAGAAAATATGAGTATTTTTATTTAATATTTTTAATTAATTATTTATTAATTTTTTTTTTTTTTTTTTTTTTTTTTTTTTTATTATAATAAAAAGTTTACTTATTAATTAATATAATTTAAGAATTTTTATTAATTTAATAATTTAGTATTGAAGACAACAATTTGATATTTCTTGTAATTTAAACAAGTCAATAAAGAGAAATTTATTATTTTAAAAATTCGATAATTTTTTTAATTTTCAATTATTTAAGAAAGAGAATTTTAAAATTTAATAATTTTAAATTGTTAAATATCACTTTATAATTTTAATAATTCATCAATTTAATAGTTTTTAATTATTTAACAACTTAATAATTTTTCATTATTTAACAACTTAATAATTTTTCATTATTTAGCATTTTAATACCTTTTCATTATTTAACAATTTAATAATTTTTCATTATTTAACAACTTAATAATTTTTTTAATTATTTAAAAAATCAACAATATTTCAATTATTTAACATTTTTCAAAAAAATTTTTTTATTTAATAATATAAAATTTAATTATTGTTAAATAGGTATATTAAAATATATTTGACACATTTTATAATTTTTATAAATTAACAATTTAATCATTTCTATAAATTAACAAATTAATGATTTTTATAAATTAAATTAATTATTTTTTTCTAATTTGAATGTTAATAAGTGTTTTTTTGAATTATTTAACAATAATAGTGTTTACAACAATTAACTAAGCAATTTAGTAATTTTAAATGTCTTGACAAAATAGAAAATTTTAATAAATTAACAGTTTAAAAGCTAACAGTTAAATTATTTATCTAATTAATTAATTTTTATTTAAAAAAAACATTTTTTTTCTCCTTTAAATAATAAAGAAAATAAAATCACAGAAGTAGAAAAAAATTGGTTTCTTTTGTTTAAATAATTATAATCAATTTATGTAAACATTTACATGCATATGAATGTTTTATGAAAATAAGTTTTAATTTATTCCTAACGTATTTTCTTTTCAATGAAAATTTATTTTGCACTAAATAGCATTTTTTATAAATAATATATTATACACAAACAATTGAAATGTATAATAAATGTTAATAAATTAATTGCGAATTTCATAATTTATTTTTAAAACACATGTATTTAAAAACATTGGACTTCATTCCAAGAAATATTACTTTATGAAAATATTTTTTTTAAAAGTAAACAAATATTAATTATGTAATAATATAAACATATAATAACATTTATCTTACGCTCATTGTTTTGTATAATTATTAAATTATTCTACAAAAATAAATAAATAATTAATGAATTAGTTTGTTATAATTTGTGTTTTATTATTATTATTACTTTTTTAATTTATGGAAGAATTATTATTATTATTATTATTATTATTATTATTATTATTATTCATTAAATAATTTTGAAAGCCAAAAGTATATTAATAAAAGACGATTAAATTCTTTTATTAATTATTATTAAATTATTATAAATAATAAAAAAAAAAAAAAAAAAAAAAAAAAAAAAAAAAAAGTTGAAAGAATAGTTTTGAAAAAAATGTATATTGAATTATTTGCTGAGCGTCTGTTATAAAATAATTTTTAATTGAAATGAATTATTTCAGGCTCTGGGTAACGATGCGCTGATGGGTATGAGGGAGGATGAATGGGGTGTATTATGCTCAAAAGATAGAACATCGATGGGCGTTGTTCTAAGGGACCGGCTAATGACGGACGCCGCACTTGGTGGTTCAAAGCCAATAAAAACTGAACACAGTTACAGTCTTCTTGCATGTAGTCCACCACCAAGTCCAGAATCTCCAAGTGATGTCAGCCCCCACACTCCACACAGTCTGGACAGCCCCAATTCAGCTATCTCTGCTGGCTCGACAACCGTTATTTCCTGTTCTAGTAATACCACTGTCCAAACTCACAAAACCATGGAATTGCGAAGTCGAATTCACGGTAGGTATAAAAAAAAAAAAAAAAAAAAAAAAAAAGTTTCATAATATGTTTCTTATCAATTTTTCAAATTATTCTTCGAATATGAAAAGAAGAAAGAAAGTAACAAATTAATATTTATTTTTTTTTCAGTTTCTATATTAAATTCAATGAGAGAGTAATTCAAAATTTTTTTTTTAAAGAATAAATTATGCCGTAAGAAAAAAATGGAGAATTTTGTTTCTGAACTAATTATTCAATTATATTTTTCGTTTAAATTCTAATTTATAATTTTTATTATATTTTTCAAATATATATGAATGATGGACAAATAATTATTTAATTTGTAGGGGAAGATAATATAAAGATGAAAATTTTTGATTTAAAATAATTGAATTTTGTGAAAACACTCTCGTTTAACAAGTTTCAAGAAAATCTGACGAATTTTTAAAAAATATATCCACCATATTGGATCCGTCATTTTGAATTTTGTAAATCTGATGTCAAATTTGAATTCAGCGATCCCAGAAACCCCCGAGTAACGTTTTTTTTTGATCGAAACGCAACAATTTTTTAATTTTCTGCCATTTTGGATCCGCCATTTTGAATTTTTAAAAATCGTCGTCAGATTCGAAAAAAAGCGTTCTCAAAAACCCCCGAATCACGAGTTTCAAGCAAATTCAATTATATTTTCCAAATAACGTCTGCCATATTAAATCCGCCATTTTGAATTTTTAAAAATCAATGTCAAATTCGAAATAAGCGACCTCCGAAAACCTCCAAATCAGGAGTTTCAAGCAAATTTTATGCAAATTCTATAGCAAATTCTAATTTAAATAATTGAATTCCTGAAAAAATGTTATTATTCATGAAAAGAATTGACTTCTTACGAAGATTGTTACAAAAATTTTTTTTAAATAATTGAATTTTTGCTAAAATTTTACTATTTAAAAAGAGAATTAAATTGTTTCGAAGAATTTATTAAAATTTTTTTGTAAAATTTCATTAAACATTTAAAAAAAATTGAATTGTTTCGACGATTTTATTAAAATTTTAGAAAATAATTGAATTTTTTCAAAAAATATTAAAAATTTTTTTTTTAAAAAAGGTTAAATTCTTTTATGAAATTTTATTAAAATTGTATTAAAAATAATTAAATTTTAGCAATAAATTTTAATATTTATAAAAATAATTGAATTTCTACGAAGAATTTATTAAAATTTCGGAAAATAATTAAATTCTTTTGGTTGAATTTTGCCGAAAAATATTATTAACAATTTTTTTTTAAAAAAAGGTTGAATTCTTTTATGAAATTTTATTAAAATTGTATTAAAAATAATTGAATTTCTACTAAGAATTTATTAAAATTTCGGAAAATAATTAAATTCTTTTGGTTGAATTTTGCCGAAAAATATTATTAACAATTTTTTTTTAAAAAAAGGTTGAATTCTTTAATGAAATTTTATTAAAATTGTATTAAAAATAATTGAATTTTCGCAAAGAATTTTAATATTTATAAAAATAATTGAATTTCTACAAAGAATTTATTAAATTTTGAAAATTAAATTAAAAAAATTGAATTGTTTCGAAGATTTTATTGAAATTTTAGAAAATAATCGAATTTTCCGAAAAATATTTTTAAAAATTTTTTTTAAAAAAAAAGGTTAAATTCTTTTAAGAAATTTTATTAAAATTGTATTAAAAATAATTGAATTTTCGCAAAGAATTTTAATATTTATAAAAATAATTGAATTCTTTTGGTTGAATTTTGCTGAAAAATATTATTAAAAATGTTTTTTTTTAAAAAAAGGTTGAATTCTTTTATGAAATTTTATTAAAATTGTATTAAAAATAATTGAATTTTAGCAAAGAATTTTAATATAATTATAAAAATAATTGAATTTCTACGAAGAATTTATTAAAATTTTGGAAAATAATTGAATTCTTTTGGTTGAATTTTGCCAAAAAAAAAAAATTATTATAATTGTATTAAAAATAATTGAATTTTATCAAAAAATTTAAAAAAATTTTTTAAAATAATTGAATTTCTACGAAGAATTTATTAAAATTTCGGAAAATAATTGAATTCTATTGATTGACCAAAAAAATTCAATCTATTAAAAGTTTCCAAAATAATTTAATTTCGTCAAGAATTTTTATTGAAATTAAATTTTGAAAGTAAGTTAATTGCCCTAAAGAATTTTATTGTTTTTTAAAATAATTGAATTCTTTCAGAGAATTTTGAAAAAACCTTTTTTTTAAATACTTGATTTTTTCGAGAAATTGAAATTAAAATTTTTAAGAATTTTTTGAAACATTCTTTTAAGCAAAATTCCTGTAAAATTGTATATGAAAAATAATTGAAATCCTGCGGTGAATTTTATTATTCATGAAAATAATTGAATAGTTGGAAAAAATTTTATTAAAATTTTCAAAAAATAATTGAATTTCTCCGAAGAACTTTATGACTTATGATAATAATTGAATTATTGTGAAAAATTTTATTAAAATATTAAAAAAGAATTGAATTTCTGTGAAAAAGTTTGTTATTTTTGAATGTAATTATTGAATTCTTCATAAGAATTTTATAAACATTGTTTTAAATAATTAATTTTTTTTTTGAAATATAATAAACATTATGAAATTTTAATTTTAAATAATTGAATTCTTGTGGAAAACTTTATTTGTGAAAAATAATTGAATTCTTGCTTAGAATTTTGTCGAAAATGTTTTTAAAAAATTGAATTTCCATGAAAAAATGTTATTATTAGTGAATTATTATGAATTAATAATTGAATTATTGTGAAGAATTGTATAAAAAAAATGTGTTAAATAATTGATTTTTTCGAAATTTTTTTTTTTGAAAATGCTATTCTAAATTAATTTAATTCCTGTGGAAATTTTATTATTTATAAAAATAGTTGAATTTTTGAAGTATTTTATCAATTTTTTTTTATTGAATTCTTTTGCAAAATTTTATGAAATTACTAGATATTGAAAATGAATTTCGAATATTTTTTGAAAATAATTGAATCGTTTTAAAGAATTTGTTTATAATTTTTGAGAATAGTTTTTTTGATTTCTAATATTAGCGAATTTAAAGTAGTGGAAATTCTAGAAAAACAAAGTGAGTCCGCCATATTGGATCCGCCATTTTGGATTTTTAAAAATCAATATCAAAATCGAATTTTGAAAACAGTTTGTTTCAAAAATGTCTTTTTTTAGCAGCAAATTCATCATTACAATGTAAAAAATTGATAAATTTACAAAACGCAGATATTACTAACGGGGTTATACTCTGCTAAAAAGATTAGAAATCAGCTGAGGTCATTGGTATACGTATATATATACGTTTGTTTGTAATTTATATACAGATCGAACGAGATCGATCTTTCATTTGACAAGTTGCAAAATCTACTCGCATGTAAAAATAACAATTGATAAGAAATATTATACGCGTGCCGGTTTCCAATTACTTCCAATCATCTCCTCTCGATAATGAAATTACTTCATTTAATTGCTTTATAACGCTTATAAATAGATTTTTTTTATATAATATCCTCATTCTCTTAAATAATTTTCATTCCCTCTTATATTTAACTCTTCAGAATCAATCAGATTTGCAAAATTCAAAATGGCAGATCCAATATGGCGGATAATCAGAAAATTGACCCGTTTCGATCGAAGAACGTCACTCGGGGGTTTTTGGGGTCGCTGAATTCAAATTTGACAACAGATTTACAAAATTCAAAATGGCGGATCCAATATGGCGGATAATTAGAAAATTGACCCGTTACGATCGAAAAACGTCACTCGGGGGTTTTTGGGGTCGCTGAATTCAAATTTGACATCAGATTTACAAAATTCAAAATGTCGGAACCAATATTATCATTTTTTCACTATTTTTGGCCAGAAAAGAATTTTTTTTTCTACGAGACTGAAATGAATAGGTTTAAGGGAATGAAAAATAATTTAGTAATTTATTCTTTTTTAATAGTTGTAGATATGGAAGAAGAGTGTTTTCCAGCCATTTCAATGAAGACGGCGTCGAGTCGAGAATCGTTGTCTTCATCGCCAACGTCGACGTCGCCAAGTATTGATGATTCGAAATTAAGTTTAATAATCGAAGGTCGCAATTGCCCGATAATTAAAGGCGAACCGGAAAGTCAACCAGGAAGTCCATGCCAGTCTTCCGATTTCGTTGAAAAGGAGAATACAATTACGATGGTCGAACCTCACAGACTACATTTCACGAGGAACAGTCTGTCACAAACTAGTGAGAGCGACGACGACGAAGACGAAATTTATCAGGTAAATTATTTTCAAATTACGATTACAATTTATAGTTTTCGATAATTTTAATTTGATTTACGCTTTAAAGAATTTGTTTTTCAATTTTCATTTTTTTTAAGCTTTGAATTGCATTTTCACTCTCGTTTCAATTTTCACTTTCACTTTCGCTGTAAATATTAAACTTGATTTTCAGTTTAAATTACATTTTTACTTTTACATTGAATTTATATAATTTACACGTTTACTTAGAATTACATTTTCATTTCAATTTTTAGTTTCCTTTTGAATTTAATTTTCACTTTGAATATTCTTAACTTTATTTTCTAATTAAAACTTAGAAAATTTACTTTCACCGTAAATTTCATTTTCAATTTGAATTTCAATTTAATTTTTACATTTTAAATTTTATTTTCACTTTAAATTTCATTTTTATTCTGACTTTAATTTTAATTTATATTTTAAATTTTATTTTCACCTTAAATTTCATTTTGACTTTGACTTAAATTTTAATTTACCTTTTTAAATTTTATTTTCACTGTAAATTTCATTTTGACTTTGACTTAAATTTTAATTTACCTTTTTAAATTTTATTTTCACTTTAAATTTCATTTTCAATTTCATTTTGATTTTCAATTTTTTAAAAAAATTAATTTCTTTTACTTTAAAATTCATTATATTTTCATTTCTATTTTTACTTTGACTTTGAATTTCATTTTCACTTTGATCATAATTTTTTATTTTTACTTTTTATTCTGAAAATAACGTTGAGAGTCAAACTAAAACGAGAGAATTAATTTGAAAGTGATAATTTAAATTAAAGTGAAAATGAATGTGAAATTTCAAGTGAAAATGAAAATTAAAGTAAAAATGAATTACAAATTAAATGTGAAAATTAATATGAATGTGAAATTGAAAGTTAAAATAAAGATTCGTGTATAAATTCTGAGTCAAAGTGAAAATGAAATTCAGAGTGAAAATTAATTACAAATTAAATGTGTAAATTAATATGAATGTGAAATTAAAAGTTAAAATAAAAATTCTTGTATAAATTCTAAGTCAAAGTGAAAGTGAAATTCAAAGTCAAATTGAAATTGAGAATTAAAATAAAAATTCGAGTATAAATTCTGAGTCAAAGTGAAAATGAAATTCAAAGTCAAAATGAAATTTAAAGTGTAAATTAAAGTAAAAATTCGAGTATAAATTCTGAGTCAAAGTGAAAATGAAATTCAAAGTCAAATTGAAATTGAAAATAAAAATAAAAATTCGAGTATAAATTCTGAATCAAAGTGAAAATGAAATTCAAAGTGAAAATGAAATTCAAAGTAAAAAATGAAATTCAAAGTAAAAATGAAATTCAAAGTGAAAATTAATTACAAATGAAATGTGAGAATTAATATAAATGTGAAATTGAAAGTTAAAATAAAAATTCTTCTATAAATTCTAAATCAAAGTGAAAGTGAAATTCAAAGTCAAATTGAAAATTAAAATAAAAATTTGAGTATAAATTCTGAGTCAAAGTGAAAATGAAATTCAAAGTAAAAATGAAATTTAAAGTGAAAATTAAAATAAAAATTTGAGTATAAATTCTAAATCAAAGTGAAAGTGAAATTCAAAGTCAAATTGAAAATTAAAATAAAAATTCGAGTATAAATTCTGAATCAAAGTGAAAATGAAATTCAAAGTGAAAATGAAATTCAAAGTAAAAATTAAAATAAAAATTTGAGTATAAATTCTAAATCAAAGTGAAAGTGAAATTCAAAGTCAAATTGAAAATTAAAATAAAAATAAAAATTCGAGTATAAATTCTGATTTAAAGTGAAAATGAAATTCAAAGTCAATTTGAAATTGAAAATTAAAAAAAAAATTCGAGTATAAATTCTGAATCAAAGTGAAAATGAAATTCAAAGTAAAAAATGAAATTCAAAGTAAAAATGAAATTCAAAGTGAAAATTAATTACAAATTAAATGTGAAAATTAATATAAATGTGAAATTGAAAGTTAAAATAAAAATTCTTGTATAAATTCTAAATCAAAGTGAAAGTGAAATTCAAAGTGAAAGTGAAATTCAAAGTGAAAATGAAATTCAAAGTAAAAATTAAAATAAAAATTTGAGTATAAATTCTAAATCAAAGTGAAAGTGAAATTCAAAGTCAAATTGAAAATTAAAATAAAAATTCGAGTATAAATTCTGAATCAAATTGAAAATGAAATTCAAAGTAAAAATTAAAATAAAAATTTGAGTATAAATTCTAAATCAAAGTGAAAGTGAAATTCAAAGTCAAATTGAAAATTAAAATAAAAATAAAAATTCGAGTATAAATTCTGATTTAAAGTGAAAATGAAATTCAAAGTCAAATTGAAATTGAAAATTAAAAAAAAAATTCGAGTATAAATTCTGAATCAAAGTGAAAATGAAATTCAAAGTAAAAAATGAAATTCAAAGTAAAAATGAAATTCAAAGTGAAAATTAATTACAAATTAAATGTGAAAATTAATATAAATGTGAAATTGAAAGTTAAAATAAAAATTCTTGTATAAATTCTAAATCAAAGTGAAAGTGAAATTCAAAGTCAAATTGAAAATTAAAAGAAAAATTCGAGTATAAATTCTGAGTCAAAGTGAAAATGAAATTCAAAGTAAAAATGAATTACAAATTAAATGTGAAAATTAATGTGAATGTGAAATTAAAAGTTAAAATTTATAGTATAAATTCTAAGTCAAAGTGAAAATGAAATTCAAAGTCAATTTGAAATTGAAAAAATTGAAAATGAAAACTGAAGCAAAAATTAAATTCAGAATCAAAATGAGTGTAAAAATAAAATTTAATGTCTTGACAAAAATTGAAAAAAATTTAACATCCAAGTAAAATTGAATAAAGAGAAAATGAAATTAAAAGTCAGAGTGAAATGTCAATATTAAAGTAAAAATTGAAACTAAATTTAGAAATAAAATTATTGTACTTATGCTTTGGGTTTTTTTTTTAAAGAAAAAAAATATTTCCTGAGTAAATAATTTTTTTCTGTAACATTTTTTTCTGTGAAATTTTTTTGCGTATGAAATTTCTTCTGTAACATATTTTTGCATGTAAATTTTTTTCTGTAAATTTTTTTTCTGTATAAATTTTCTTCTGTAAATTTTTTGTTGTGTATAAATTTTCTTCTGTAAATTTTTTTTTGCGTTTAAATTTTTGTTGTGTATAAATTTTCTTCTGTAAAATTTTTTTTGTGTATAAATTTTCTTCTGTAAAATTTTTTTGTGTATAAATTTTCTTCTGTAAATTTTTTTTTGTATAAATTTTTTTCCGTAGGTTAATTGTTTTTTGTGTATAAATTTTCTTCTGTAAATTTTTTTTTGTGTATAAATTTTTTTCTGTAAAATTTCTTTTGTGCATTAATTTTCTTCTGTAAATTTTTTTTTGTGTATAAATTTTTTTCAAGTAAATTTTCTTTTTGTCTATGTAAAAATTTGAATAGTAAATTTTTTTTGTCTATGTAAAAATTTGAATAGTAAATTTTTTTTGTCTATGTAAAAATTTGAATAGTAAATATTTTTTTGTTCTAACGTTCGTTTAGAGGATGGATCTTGATGAATTTGAGGTAACTTGCGCGGAAAGTGGAGAAACATTTAGCGCTTCCCGACAAGCATTACCGCCAACACCGCCAAGTAGCGCGAGTTCCGACAGCGAAGGAACAGCTTCCGCTTCCTGTTCACCGGAGCGTCGAGAGCCACAAAGTTCCACACACGTTCAAAATCTTCGAGGTCTTCTAACTCCAAGGCTTTATGTCAGCAATGGAATTCACACGCACACAACCACCAGGCAACCAATACACACGCCACTCATTTCCTGTCAGCCGGTAAGAAATTGTCATTTTTACTTGCACAATGCTTTTTTTTTTCTTTCCTACTATTTCTATATTATGTTAGGTACTGATCATTTTTTTCCAAACAAGTATAACATTTTTTAAATTCCAAAGAAAAATTAGATACTGTTGACTTTTTTTTATTTAAATTTCTTTTTTAGTTCAATTTCTCATAAAAAAAATTTTCTGGTTGAAATTTTTTGTAGTGGAAAAAATTTTGTTTCAATTTCAAAATTTTTGATATCGTGGAACTAAATGTTGATTTTTAATATATATTTAATTGATTATTAAAAATAATGAAATTATCGAGGAATTTTCGTTATAAACATTAAAAAAAATTTGAATTTTGGTCAAATTTCAAATAATTGCAAAAATTCAATTATTTTCAAAAATAATAAAATTCTTCGCAAAAATTCAATTATATTTCAAAAATTTCAATTCTCTTTATAAATAATAAAATTCTTCTTCGAAATTCAATTATTTTCAAAAATTTTAATAAAATTCTTCTTCGAAATTCAATTATTTTCAAAAAATTTTAATAAAATTTTTGTCAAAATTTCAATTATTTGCAAAAATTTTTCTCAATTCAATTCGAAATGTTGATTTTTAATATATATTTAATTAATTAATAAAAATAATGAATTTATCGAGGAATTTTCGTTTTAAAAACTAAAAAAAAATTTTAATTTTGGTCAAGTTTCAAATAATTGCAAAAATTCAATTATTTTCATAAATAATAAAACTCAATTGCAAAATTTCAATTATTTTTAATAAAATTCCTCGAACTATATCAACAAAAAATATTTAATAAAATTCTACGCAAACATTTAATTATTTTTATAACTAATAAAAATTTCACAGGAATTCAATTATTTACCAAATTTTTTTTTATAAATTTCTTCGAAATAATTGAATTATTTTCATAAATAATAATAAAATTCTTTTTAGAAATTCAATTATTTTCATAAATATAATAAAATTCATCGCAGAATTTCAATTATTTTTAATACAATTTTTGTCAAATTCCTCAAAAAATTTAATTATTCTTGAAAATTTTAATAAAATTCCTCAAAAGAATTTAATTATTTAAAAATTTGTTTATAAAATTCTTCAGGAGAATTCTATTTTAAGAAACATTTAATTATTTCAATAAATTATTCTTTTTTTTATTTAAATAATTCAATTCTCGTAGAATTTTTTATTAGTAATTGATTTTGAAAGTGAATTTCAGTTAAAATTTTAGATAATAATTGAATATTAAAAGCATTATTATCATGAATTTTTAGAAATAATTGAATTTTGAAAAGGTTTCATACTAAAAATCTTTGAAAATTTGAATTTTTCTTAACTTTTAACTAAAAATTCTGTAGAATCAATTTTTTTTTGAAAAAGTGTAATTGTTATTTTTTTTTTTTTTAATTATTTGAAGTTTTAATTTTCGAATATATATTTAATTGAAGAATTTTCGAATAATCGAAATTTCATAAAATTGAATTGTAAACAAATGGATTTTGAAAATTCACAAAGAACTTCTGTAAAAATTATTAAAAATAATTGATTTTAAGAAAAATTTTAGTTAAAAGCCTATTAAAAAAATTTAATTTTGATAAAGTTTTAATAAATGTTTGGAGAAATTCAATTATTTTCAAAAGTAATAAAATTCTTTGTAGAAATTCAATTATTTTCATAAATAATAAAACCAATCTCAAAATTTGAATTTTTTAAATACAATTTTAATTAAATTTATCGAAAAATGTAATTGAAAATTTTAATAAAAATCCTTCAAAAGAATTCAATTATTTAAAAATTGGCCAGTAAAATTCTTTATGAGAATTCAATTTTAAAAATAACATTAAAATTATTGAATACATTATTTATTTTTGTATTTAAATAATTCAATGCTCGTGGAATTTTTTTTATCAAAAACTGATTTAAAAATGAATTTCAGATTATAATTGAATATTAAAAGCAGTATAGCAAACTTTTAGAAATAATTGAATTTCGAAAAGGTTTCTATTTAAAATCTTTGAAAATTTGAATTTTCCATACTTTTAACTAATTGGCATGAATTTTTAGAAATAATTGAATTTTGAAAAAGTTTCAAATTGAAATCTTTGAAAATCTTAATTTTTCATATTTTTAACTAAAACTAAAAAATTCTAAAAATTCTGTAAAATTGAATTTTAAACAAATACATTTGAAAATTCTCGGAATTTTTTTTTTAAATTATTATAAATAATTGATTTTAAGAAGAATTTTAGTTAAAAATTCTAGTACATAATAATTAAATTGAAATGATGAAAATAATTTTTGAAGAAATTACAGTAAAAATATTTTTTATAGTAAAAAATAATTATCTTATCACTCGGTCATCTTTAATTATTATAAAAAAAACTTGAAGAAAGTTTGATAATATTATTCTCATAAATTGTTGAATTTCAAAAAAATATTTGAATTCGAATGTTTTGAAAATCTTAATTTCTATGGAAAAAAATGTCACTACGAATTGAATGTTAGACTTTCAAAATAAAATAAAAATAAAAGCTATGATTTAAAAAAAAATAAATAAAAACTTGAATTAAATTATTTTAAAAATTATATTAAAAATTGTTAATGTAGAGAAAAATTACCAAAAAAAGGAAAATTTTCAAAATTTCAGAAAGGATCGACTGGAATTTTAACACTAACGGAAGAAGAGAAGAGGACATTAATAGCAGAAGGTTATCCTGTACCAACGAAACTACCTCTCACGAAACAGGAGGAAAAGTCTCTCAAGAAAGTCAGAAGGAAAATAAAAAACAAAGTGAGTCTTTTTTATACACAATTTTTTTTTATCATTTAGTATTATAAATATTTAATACATTTCTTTTTTAAACAAAAATTTTATATGCCCTGAAAATTTTTAATTTTCTTAAAACACAAATTAAAAATTAAAAATATTTTTTTCATATTTAATTTAATGATAAAATAATTTTTAGTAATATAAAAAATTATGATAATTATTTATAATAATAATAAATAATTTAATAATTCATAATAATTAATAGCAATAAATAATTAATTTTTTCAATAGTAAAAAATTATCTATTCAAGTAGAGGAAATAATTTCTACTACCAAATGAAAAAAAGGGGGAAGATTTAAAAAAAATCAAAAAAAAAAGATTTTAAAAAATCGTTTTATATTATTTTACTTATTTTTAATAATTTTTTAAAACTATTTATTTATTTATTTTTTTATTTACTTCTTTATTTGTTTACCGATTTAATTTTTTTGTTTATTTATTTATTTATTTTATTTAACAGTAAAAGAATATATTAAGAGGTAGAACTTTAGATAAAACTATGATAAAAATATAATTTTCACATTTAGAAACCACTTAGAAAACAATTGAAGAAGGCTCATGCTAATAATTGATTTTAATCTCTGAACAACATATTTCAAATTTTCATCTAAATGATATTTTAAATATCTCATTTCCTTCAAATTAGAAGCAAGTCACTCTCTACAAATTTGAAAAGCATTTTCATTAGAAAACTTGCAAACTCGAATTTTAAGTTTAAGGTCATTCTCAATATTGCAGAAAATCTTGTCGGAAAGAGAAAAAAAATGACAAATTTTTTCAATGTAATGATTTTATTAAAAATCGAAATATCTGGTTAAAAATATTTTCTACAATTAATAAATTTAGAATAAACAAATAAATAATGGATATATATATATATAAATAAATAAATAATAAATGAATAATTACAATAAATAATCAATTTCTTAATCAATTAAACTTTTTATTTATTTATTATTTTTTTTCGATAATAAAATTTTCATTTATTTCTTCATAATTTGGAAATATTCAGTTAAATTAAAAAACATTAAAACAATTAAATAAAATTAAAAATGAAACGAAAAAAATTGTAAAATACTAAAATTCTATTTATATTAAATACTGATTAATTTTTATAAAATTTAAAAAATTAATTACAACTAAAAATTAAACGAATGAAAATACAGGGTTGCCAGAGGTCAGGGAATTCAGGCGAAAATCAGGGAAAGTAAAATTGGTCAGGAAAATCAGGGAAAAATCAGGGATTTTTGGTAAAAGTACTCGAAAAATTTGAATTTTTAAAATTCATGAGAAAACTCTGAATTTTGATGTTTTTTTTTGTTTGCCTCGTAAACTCTGAAATTACCACGAATTTTAATACAAAACCTTCAATTTTTTCTATTTCTGACAACAATTTCTTTTTAAATAACTTAATTTTTCAAAAAGTATCATAAACTTAGGACTTATAAATTATTTAATGAATAAATTTTACAATTTTCATAAATACTAGATTGATAGAAGAATTTTAGTTAAAAATACTAAAAAAAAATTAAATTTTCGAAAAGTTACAAATGATTCCAGAAATTCAAATTATTTTCAAAAATTATAAAAATTCTTCGCGGAATTTCAATTATATGATCAAAAATTTAAAAAAAAGTTATCGTCAAAATTTCAATTATTATCTTTATAAATAATAAAATAAAATTTTTCATCGAAATTCAATTATTTTTAAAAATTTTAATAAAATTCTTGGCAAAATTTCACAGGAATTTCAATTATTTACTTACAATTTTTAATAAATTTCTTCGAAAAAATTCAATTATTTTCATAAATAATAAAATTTTCACAGCAATTCAATTATTAAAAATAAAAAAATTTCATAAAATTTTTCGAAAAATATCAATTTTTAAAAAAGATTTTTATCAAATTCGTCGCAAGAATTCAATTATTTAAAAAAAAGTTAACACAGTTCTTTTCAAGAATTCAATTATTTTTATAATTATATATAAATTCTTTGCTAAAATTCAATTCTTTTTAATACAATTTTAATAAAATTTCATGAAAGAATTCAACCTTTTTTTGAAAAAAAATTTTTAATAATATTTTTTGGCAAAATTCAAACAAAAGAATTCAATTATTTTCCGAAATTTTTAATAAATTCTTCGTAGAAATTCAATTATTTTTATAAATATTAAAATTCTTTGCTAAAATTCAATTATTTTTAATACAATTTTAATAAAATTTCATAAAAGAATTTAACCTTTTTTTTAAAAAAAATTTTTAATATTTTTTGAAAAAATTAAATTATTTTCTAAAATTTTAATAAAATCTTCGAAACAATTCAATTTTTTTTAAAATGTTTAATGAAATTTTATGAGAAAATTTCAAAGTTTTTTTTAAAATTTTAATAAATTCTTCGACACAATTTAGATTCTTTTTTCAAATAGTAAAATCTTAGCAAAAATTGAGTAACATTATATCAATAAAATTTCACGAAAAAATTCGGTTTTTTTTCTTGAAATTCGTTAATAAAATTTTCCAACAGAAATCACTTATTTAAAAAAAAATTTAAGAAATTTTTACGCAAACATTTAATTATTTTCATAAATAATAAAAATTCCCCAGGAATTCAATTATTTACAAATTTTTAAAAAAATTTCTTCGCAAAAATTCAATTAAGATAAAAAAAAATTCTTGTCAAAATTTCAAGTATCTTTATAAATAATAAAATTCTATTCCGAAATCTAATTATTTTAGAAAAATTTTAATAAAATTCTTGGGAAAATTTAAAAATTTTAATTAATTTCATGAATAATAAAACTCATCGCAGGATTTCAATTATATTTTTGATACAATATTTTAATCAAATTTCTCGAAAAATGTAATTATTCTTGAAAATTTTATTAAAATTAGTCAAAAGAATTCAATTATGTAAAAATTTGTTGGTAAATTTCTTTATGAGAATTCAATTTTAACAAACATTGAATTATTTAATAAATTTTTTATTCTTTAATATTTAAATAATTGAATTCTTCTAGAATTTTTTAATAAACATTGATTTAAAAATGAATTATCGAATAATCGATTTACTATTTATGAAAATAATTGAATTATTGCAACGAATTTTATTACATTTTTTTTTTTTTTTTTTTGAATAATTTTAATTTTTTTGAGAAATTTTACTATACTTGTAAAAATAATTAAATTCTTGCGAGGGATTTTATTAGGATTTTTTTGCAAATAATTAACTTTTTTTTTGAAAAATTTTATGAATTGAATTTTAAGAAGGTTTGAATTTGAATGTTTTGAAAAATTTTAAATCCTACAGAAGAATAATAATGATTAAATATTTATTTTAAAGAGAAGTTGTTGATTTTTTTCGAATAATTTGACTTTTGAAGGAATTTGTAAATAAATGTAATGGAACATTTTTTTTGAGTATCTAATAATTTTTAGAGTGAATCAGAATATTTTTTAGGGTCAGGGAAAAAGTGGAAATTTTGTCTGGAAATCAGGGAAAAGTCAGGAAAAAATAAAATTAAATATTTGTGTTAACCCTGAAATAGTAAAACATTAAAATATTCATATTAAACACTCATTAAATTTGAAAAATAAATGCAAAAAATTAATTAAAAATCAAACCAATGAAAGTAGTAAATTGTTATGATATTAAAATATTGATATTAAAATCTAATTAAAATAAAAAAATACAAAAAATTAATTAAAATAAAAAAAATAATAATTAACAACGCAGTTATTGTTTTTCCTCTACTACTTCTACGAATTTTCTTGTTGATTTCCAATTTCCTGATGGATAAAATTTATTATATTTCTATTCGAAATGTTTTGTCATTTTTTTCTATGGAAAAAATAATGTTTCTTATATTTCTTTTTTCTTTTTTCTAGATATCAGCTCAAGAATCGCGTAGAAAGAAGAAAGAATATATGGATGGTCTAGAGAGGAGAGTAACAGTTTTAACAAATGAGAATTCCTCCTACAGAGACAGACTGAACGTCCTTGAGGATTCAAATCGCGAATTATTACAAGAATTACAACGCCTTCAAACACTATTGCAAATGCAGGCTTCTTCCTAGTTTTTCTTTTCTTTTCTTTTTTATTTTCTTTGATGAAGCAGAGAAAAGAATCAATGCGACCTTAATTACTTTAGTATTTTTTTTTTTTCATTCCTCAACGATGACGAGATAGAAGATCAGTATCTTCCTGCATAGTCTGACCAACCTACTTATGTTTGTCGACACGACGCGCCGACGGCCCTAAAACCTCGACTATTTGCTTTATTCTTAGTATCAGTCATCGTCATTTTATATTAGAGTCAATTGTAAAAGCATCCTCATTAATATGAAATTCCATGAACACTGGAAAGTCGTATATATATATACATACAATTGTGTGCAATATTTACAAGGAAAAAAAAAACAATTGCGCTGAGTAGAAGAAATGTCCAAAGAATATGCTTATTACTGTTATTTTTCTTTTTAATTAATAATTAATGATTAATCGTAGGCGATCGATGTTCTTTTTTTTTTATTAATTTTTAAAACACTTGGAGAAAATTTCTATCTTTTTTTTTTAAAAATAAATTTCCAGAAAGTAAATAAGGAAAAACAGGGTTGCCACAAGTTAGGAAATTCAGAAAAAAGTCAGGGATTTTTTTTTAAAAGTAGTGAAAAAAATTAAATTTTTAGAATTCATGAAAAAATTATGAATTTTTGTTTATTTTTTTTGTATGCTTCGTAAACTATGAAATTCTCACGAATTCAAACACAAACAATTTAATTTTTCCTATTTTTATTCTTCTGACCTTAATTAAAAATTTTTAATATATATATATTTAATTAATTATTAAAAGAGAATTCTAGTTTAAAACATTTTAAAAAATTGAATTTTTCAGAAGTAATAAATTCAATTATTTTTAAAAGTAATAAAATTTTTCGCAGAAATTCAATAATTTCTTTAATTTTATTAATAATTTCATTATATTTTATTTTATTAATTTATTTTATTAATTTCTTCAATAAAAATTTTATTTAAAAATTATTTAATGAATAATTTTACTTTAATATTTCAAAATTAACAGAATTTTAAAAGAGTTGAATTTAAAATTTTAAAAAGTGGTTTCACTTGAAATTTTATAAAATTTCAATTTTCAATGCATTTAGTTACAAATTTTTGACAAATTTTAATAATTCAAATTCTTCTGAAATCAGTTCGATTTTTTAATATATATATTTAATTCTGTATTAAAATTCATGGATTAATAGAAGAATTTTAGTTAAAAACATTTTTTAAAAATTTAATTTTTGGAAAAGTAAGAAATTCAATTATTTTCAAATGTAATAAAATTCTTCACAAAAATTCAATTATATTCAACATTTTTTTTTAAATTTCAATTATCTTTATTAATAACAAAATCCTTCTCCGAAATTCAATTATTTTCAAAAATTTTAATAAAATTCTTCACAAAAATACAATTATTTTCAAAAATAATAAAATTCTTTAGGGCAATTAACTTTCAATTCCATTTTAATAAAAATTCTTGATGGAATTCAATTATTTTGGAAACTTTTAATAGAATGAATTTTTTTGGTAAATTTAGAGAATTCAATTATTTTCCGAATTTTTAATAAATTCTTCGTAGAAATTCAATTATTTTTATAATTATATTAAAATTCTTTGCTAAAATTCAATTATTTTTAATACAATTTTAATGGAATTTCATAAAAGAATTTAACCTTTTTTAAAAAAAAAAAAAATTGTTAATATTTTTCGGCAAAATTCAACCAAAAGAATTCAATTATTTTCCGAAATTTTTTAATAAATTCTTCGTAGAAATTCAATTATTTACATAAATATATAAATTCTTTGCTAAAATTCAATTATTTTTAGTACAATTTTAATGGAATTTCATAAAAGAATTTAACCTTTTTTTTTAAAAAAAAAATTGTTAATATTTTTCGGCAAAATTTAATCAAAAGAATTCAATTATTTTTCGAAATTTTTCAATAATTTTTTGTAGAAATTCAATTATTTTTATAAATATTAAAATTCTTTGCTAAAATTCAATTATTTTTAATACAATTTTAATAAAATTTCATAAAAGAATTCAACCTTTTTTTTTAAAAAAATTTTTAATAATATTTTTCGTCAAAATTCAATTATTTTCAAAAATTTTAATAAAATCTTCGAAACAATTCAATTTTTTTTGAAATTTTACAAAAAATTTTCAAAGTTTTTCTAAAATTTTAATAAATTCTTCGAAACAATTTAATTATTTTTTGAAATAGTAAAATCTTAGCAAAAATTTAATTGTTTTCAATAAAATTTCACGAAAGAATTCAATTTTTTCTCTTCAAATTTATAAATATAATTGTATTTTCAAAAATACATTAGTTTATGAATTTACAAAAATTATTATTCTATTTAAATAATTGAATTCTCGCAGATAAATTTTGTTAGGAATTGATTTAGAAAAAATTTCAGTTCAAAATTTAGAAAATAATTGAATATTTAAAGCGTTATAACAGAATTTTTAGGAAGTGATTAAATTTTAAAAGATTTTTAAATTAAATCCTTTGAAAATTTAAGGGAAGCAAAAGTATAAAAATATTAAATTTTTTTTTAAAAATTATTAATTACATTATTTTTTTTTAAATTCTTAGTTTTGAATAACTTGATTCAAAATTTCGAAAAAGAACAATTTGATTTTAGAAGAATTACATTTGAAATTTATAGAAATAATTAGATTTCAAAAGGTTTTTCATTGAAATTATTTGAAATTCTAATTATTGTGGAAAAATAAATAAGAATAAGTTTAAAAATTTTTTTTTAACAAAAAGTATTAAAGTTTTGATTAATTTGATTTAGAAATTCCGAAAAAAAATTGTGTCCTTTAAAAAATGTAATTAAAATTTTTTAAATATAATTGGATTTTCGATAAAAATTTAAAAAAAATTGAAACAATCGAAAATTTTGACAAATTTCATTCAAATAAATTTTATATTTTAATGAATATCATTTGTTTATTTTTGAAAATTATTTTGATAATATAATCGTATTTTTGATGAATTCTAATTGAAAATTTGGAAAATAATTGAATTTTAACTATTTTTAGTACAATTTTAATCGAATTCCTCGAAACATGTAATTATGCTTAAATTTTTTTATAAAAATTTTGTCGAAAGAATTCAATTATTAAAAAATTTGTTACAATTTTTTTTTTTTTTACAAATTTTTTTACAAATTTACAAAATTCTTCACAAGAATGAAATTTTAAGAAACATTCAATGATTCAATAAATTATTCATTTTTAATTTTTATTATATTTAAATAATTGAATTCTCGTAGAATTTGCTAATAAAAATAAATTCAAAAAATGAATTTTCGTTAAAATTCTAGGTAATTGAATATTAAAAACTTACATCATGAATTTTTTAGAAAAAATTGAATTTTAAAAAAGGTTTTATATGAAAAACTGAAAAATTTTGTTTTAAGAAAAAAACAAAATTGAATTTTTGTGGCAACCCTGAAAAAAAGGATTTTTTTGATAGAAACTTGTTGAATTATTCGGAATTTTTAAAATTTTAAACTTCTATTTAATTGTGATTGGCAAAAAATTTCAGATATGGGGCATAACTATGGCAATGATAAAAAAAAGTCAAATGGAAAATTGAGAAAAAAATTTAATTTTCTGTAAATTGAAATTCTTGCAATTTAAATATTTAAGGTTTTATTCTTAAGCGTCTAAAAGAAAGTATATTTAGAGAAAATTTAATTAAATTAGAAAATGGATCAAAGATTTAAGCATCCGTTATGACTGATTCCATTGTTTACAGGGTCTCGCTAAATACGGATAGAAAAAACAGTTTTCTAACTAAAAAAAAAAAAAATAAAGAGAATTGTTTAGAAATCCCAAATGTTTCCTAGTGGAAGTTTCAGATATAAAAAAGTAGTTTAGTAGATGTAAAAAAAATTAAAAAATCAGATTCGAAATTTTTAGAAAACATTATAAATAAATACTAAAAGACTGAAAGAAAAAAAAAGTCGCCAGAAATGTTTTTTTATATTTTAATACTTTAATTTTAATCATTTAATTTATTGTTTATTGTATTTTTCTGGTGACATTGAAAAATTATCTGTGAAATAAAGTGAAAAAAAGTGTATTTTTTCTAGAGATATTTTTTTAGAAAGTATTAATATTGAACTGAAATGAAACTATTTCGAAATTTCCACTAGGTATTAAAGCAGAAAAAAATATATATATATATATGAAAGAAATTTTCGAGAATATTTTTTCTAAAATTGTAATTTGTAAATTAAAGAATTTACATTATGTGAATTATTATTTTTGGAGAAAAATAAGAAAATACACATAGAGAAATTTTTTTCTAACACCAAATTTTTAATAGGAGAATATTATTTTTCTTAACAAAAGAAGCAGAGAAAAAAAAATTTTCCGATTTCTTTCGTTTTACTTGTGACTAAATAATTGTGTGAAATATTAGAATAAAAATATATTTAGAAATTCTAAGAAGAAAAAAATAATTTTAAAAGAAGTCGCGTATTCGAAAAATATTTTAATTATTATTCCTTTAATCATTCCAATATTTAATATTTAGAAAGAATTTTGTTTTCGTAAAATTTTTTGTTTTTACGAAATTTCTATTTTTACAATTTTGTACAATATTATTTCTACAAAATTCTTTCTGTCTAATTTTTATCTGTAATAATAATAAATAGGATCGAAAAATTGTTTTTCGAAAATAGTAAAATACGTTTTAAAATTATGTATAAAAAAAATAAATATTGCGAAAAATGTGGATTTGTAAAAAGGTCAGAGACTTAAATAATAAACCATGGCAAGTGTGATAATTTTCAAATTTCGAGTCTATAAATCTTTTTACATTTTTTCATTGTAAAAAAAAAAAAACACCGCAAAGGTCGAAATTCGGACTGCAAAATTGTCAAAATGCGAAAGAAATTGTTTTTTTTTTTTTGCAAAAATGTATGTTTACAAAATTTTTTTAGGAAAAATGTGATGAAAAGTTTTTTAATTTAAGGACAAAACAAAATCGACAAAAAATTGTGTAAACACCTTTTTTTTATAGGAACACAATTTTTTTGTTACTTTAAATGTTTTTTTTCCACTAAAATTTCATAATACTAAAAATTTTAATTTCCGTTTTAATTTTCTTTATTAAAAGTAAAATAAATATTTGAAAAAATATCACAAATATTTTCAAATTTCGAATGCTCTTTTTTCAAAATCAAAATTATTTTCAAAATAATAAAGATTTTTTATTTTTCTCTTTTTATTCCAAAGAGAAAATTTTTTTTTTTTTATCTTTTTAAATACAAAAAATTCTTTTAAATTTTTCCCAATTTTTTTTTTTTTTCAAATTATGTTCAACTGTTTTTGTTAGTTTTTTGAAAAAAAAAAAATTCCACGCTATTTGAATTTGAAATATTTTAGTTGCAAAAACTTTTGAAAGTAATGTTTTCAAAAAACTGTTTTTCTAAAAAATTATATAAATTTCAGACAAGTTTACAAAAAAATTAAAAGTGTTTTTATAAAAAAAAAAAAAAAAATTTTCAGGAATCAATCTTTAAGAAAATGAAGAAAAAAACATTTTATACGAAAAGAGAAATTTTCTCGTTTGCAGAAATAAAAAAAGGGTGTTTGCCAAAAATTACCTGTTGTCATGTAAATCTGTTTAATTTTTATTTTCAATAACTTACGTTCAACAAATTTTCATTTTAAAATCTGTTTTGTCGATTTATCATTTTTTTTTTTAAATCAAGAGAATTAATTTTTGTACATTTATAATTTCTGGTGAAAAAATTTGTCTCTAATTTTTGCACCAGCAATTTTTTTGAAACTTAAATAGTTAAAACATTTAAAAATATTAAAAATTTTGTTTTTTTTTCTTTTTTTCCAAATGGAATATTTTTTTTTATTCCATAAATTTAAAGAATTTTTTGGACATTTTTGAGAAGAAAAAAAAATCGAGCACGATGTCGACATAAGATTGTATAAATATATTATTATAATATAATATTGAATTAAGGTGCGTCGACAAAATTGGTCTTGTTACAAATTATGTATAAAAATTTTTGCGTAAAAAATTTATTTTTAAGAGGCAATTTTTTTTTTAGATTGAAAATTCGATTTTAAAAAAATTTTATTTTAGTGTTTGTTTTCTTTTTTTTGTATATATATATAACTTTGCGATAATTTAAATTGATTGATAAAATTTTATAAACAATGTCAATTTTGCAGCAAAAAATTGTAAATAAAATATATTAAAATTGATATTAGAGGAAGGAAAATTTTTTAAAGAGAATTCTAAAAAAAAAGACAAAAAAAATGTTCGATTACGAAGAATTAATTTTTTTCGGAACATTTTTCGAAATAATTCGAATTTTTTGTGGGACCACATTAAAAAAATATAAATATGTAGTTTTTTCTCTAAAAAATCTTTCTAATATCAAAATTAATATTTTTTAAGTAATTTTCTCTTATAAAAAAATTGTGTGTGTGTGAAATAAGAAATTAGATGTAAATGCGATTTTTAAATATTGTGGTGCTTCCAGTATCGAATAATAAAGTGAAATAAGAATGGGCTTGCATTTGAAAATAATTTTAAGATATTTTTAATCGTCGATAAATATTTTTGTAGAAACAACTTTTTGTTTGTTTCATTACGTTTTTTTTTTATTCAGTCATCTCTTCGTGTTGGTATTTTTTTTCATTTAGTTTCTAAGTTTTCTTTTTTCACTATAATTTTCTTTACATCGAAAATCTGCTGGGCAAGAAAAATTTTTCACTACTGTAAATTTTTCCTCAATGAAAATAATTTTTTAATCTCTGAAAAAAAATCGCACATGTCTTCAATTTTTCTAAATACACAATAAAATCACTTGCCTAGCAAAATTAGATGTAAATCTCGCGATTAAAAATTTTCCATTCTGGAAAAATCGATTTGAATATAGAAAATACGATTTTAATTTTCGAAATTATTTTTCAATTTCGAAAGTTTTAATGTCAGATTTCTTGTTTTTTAAGGAAAGAAAAAAGAAAATCTGCTGAAATTAGATAAACGGCAGAGATGTTGCTACCTCTTTTTTATTATATCGATAATTATCGCATTAAGATCGGGATACTTAAGAAAAAAAAAAAAAAAACTTTGTATTCTAATGATAAGGGAATTTTTTCGTCTGATAAGAAAAGTGTGCATAATATTGATTAGTCTTGAATTAAATATATATTATATATATAATACTTGAGAAAAATGACTTTGCGCAGAATTTAAAAAAAATAATTTATGCAACTGTTGTAATTTTTTAATATACAGTTATGCATACATTGTATAGTTACATCTATATTTTATTTCTCTTTCTAAACAGAGTTTAATATATATTTATATATAAAAATCTTTAAAAACAAATATATATATATATATATATATATAGATATATACATCTTTACGTATATATATAAATTATATATTCTATGAAAAAAGTTTTTATGACGAACAGATTTAAATATTGTATACACAAAAAGATGGTTTTCTTCAGAAAAATATTCTTTCTAAATGCATTTTGTATTTTTGTTGATTTTTCATTTAAAAACAAAATTTTTTTTTGTAAACACGTAATTTTTTTTAAAAAATTTTTTTTTAAAAATATTTTTTTACTGGTAAAAAATAATAAACGTACAGTTGGATTAAAGGGATCAATAAAATTAATAAAATTGCGCGTTTGAACGAATAATTAAATTTTTTTTTTTTTTTTTTTTTTTAAGTTTCAAAATGAAAAAAATTTTTTAGAGAGAATATTCGCTTAGAATTAGAAATAAAGAAAACCTAAAATGAGAGAAATATTTTATGAACCATTTTTAGTAATACATTATTGTGTTTTGCGATACATAGATATTTATCTACTTGTATCTTTATTGTACATAACGAATTTAATGATTTTTTATGTCGCTAAGCAATATTTTAATAAGTTAATACGATGTGAATTGTAAAAAAAAAATAAAATTTTCGAGTAGATGTGAACTTTTACCATCACGTATATTGATTATTATTATTATTCTTCTTCTTCTTCTTCTTCATCATAGCGCATGGAAAGTATATATTTTATACACGTATAAGAAATAGTGTATAATGCATTTCGTGAATTTATTATTATAAATATGAATATTAAGAGTAAAATGGGACTTGTATGTGTAAGTTTTTTTGTTTGTCACGTGATCATTATCACGTGTGTGTATATCTCTTTGAAAAAAAAGAAGAAAAAAAAAACAGTTTGAATGACTTTTGTCTGATAACAATTTATTAACAATAAACACGTGTGACAAGAGAAAATGTGATTTATTTATTGTTAGTCTTTAAAAATAACCTTTCTGGGTGATATTTTCGTTCATTGAGAGGATTTTATTTCATAAATTAATTTTTTAATTTATAATTTTTTAGGGAGTAAAATTTACGAAGAGCGGAACTTTATAAATTTATTATTGCTCGCTTTCCGATATTTCTTCTTTCGTCAATTCTAATTCTTCTAAATTCTCCCGCCCTTCTATTTGATTGCTTAACGACATTAAACTCACCGGCGAATTAAAGTCTATTTCCTTAATTTTTTCTACACCCAACTCCTTTTTCGACTCTCTTCTTGATTTGTACAATGGATTCTCAAATCTTCCACCTGAAGAAGTGGGTTCATTGTCATCCTCCAACTTATCACTTCCTGACAATTGTACACCTCCTTCGGAAAAATTCTGAAAGCGTGCGAACTTATAAGAGTTTCCCTTCGCATTGTCACTTTGAAAGCCCTCACGAATTGAAAACCAAATTTCTCTTGTTCCTTGCAGTATTCTGGAAAATGAAAATTTTCAATTGTTATTTAAAAACTTTAGTTTTGTTGATAATATTTAAATCCCATTTTTTATCCCATTTTACTGCAAATAAAGTTTTTCGTTAACTTTAATTTAACGGACATTTTATGTTAACAGTAAAAAGTGTTCGCTTATATATACATAAGGCATAAATTGCACGTACAACTTTTCAGTAAATTGTGCGAATTCCTTAATTCCACTTCATTTGTCGACGAAACTCCTCGACTTCTCTCTAGTTAAAATAAATTTGAATATAACTTGACACACCTGTTAAGCTCTCGCTGACGGCACTTCGTTATACGTGAAAATGAATATTTTTCCAACATTTTCTGTCCAAATGGGACAAAAATGACAAAGACCATTTTAGCGAAAGTGTCTCTCTATATCTAAAATACACAGTTTCTACTTTAAAAATAAACAAAATGCATCCATTTTTTAAAGAATAATTTTTATTAAAATTGAATTTTTTTTTTGTTGAAAAATGCTGAATAATGCAATAAAAATAATTAAATTTATTAAAATATTTCAGATGTCTTAGAAGGTGATGAAATAACAGAATATAAAAAATTTGAAATAAAAAGAGAGTTTAAAAAATTTTATAAACTATGTAAAAAATGAATGATTACTATTTTAGTTATCAATACATTTTTAAATAATTCAGTTTTGTAAAAGAAAAGGAAAAGGTCAATTTTGATCGAGGAAAAATATGTAGCATCACGTACGTTCAAATCAGCATTTTATGGCGTTGGATATTTCTGTAAATTTTGTGTATAACTTTTTATTTCTATCAGCAAAACGTTTTTGACGTTTGTGATGCAGACCTTTTTTTTAAAAAAATTCACTAAAAGAAACAGGAATAAAGAAAAGAATGTGGAATATGAATAATTCTTTTTGCGTATCAAAAAATTTTGACATCGCATAATTTTGAGATGTTGATCCTATGAATTGAAAATTAATTTAACTTAATAAACTAGCAACAAATCGCGCGCTAAAGCGAGCGGCTAACTTCTTACTACCTTTTTTTTTAAATAAAATTAGCAATTTTAAAAATAATAAAATTTGAAAATTTTCTAATTTAAATGTTTGTTGAAAATACTAAAAAAATTCAATTTTGTAGAATTTAGAAATACTAAAAAAATTCAATTTTGTAGAATTTAAAAATAATTGCAAAAATTCTTAAAAAAAATAAAATTCTTCTTACTTAATTCAACTATGTTCAAATCTTGAAAAAAATTCTCGTGAAAATCCCAATTATCTTTATAAATAATAAAATTCTTCTCTAAAGTTGAATTATTTTCAAAAATTTTTCTAATTTTAATGATTTTCAATATCTATGATTTTAATAAAATATTTCCCAAAACGAATTCAATTATTTAAAAAAAATTTTAATTTTAAATTTTAGAAAATGACAACTTTGAATGAATAAATTAAATAATAAAAATTTCCGAAGAATTCTATTATTTTCAAATTTTTTATAAATTTCTTCGCAATAATTCAATTATTTTCATGAAGAATAACATTTTTTTTAACTAGGAATTCAATTATTTTCATAAATAATAAAATTCTATGTAGGTTTTCAATTATTTTCATAAATAATAAAAATCATCGCAGAATTTCAATTATTTTTGGTACAATGTTAATGGAATTTCTCGAAAAATGTAATTATTCTTAAAATTTTTATTAAAATTAATTTTCAAAGATTTTAATGAAATAATTTTTAACAATTCAATTTTTTTCAAAATAATTTTAATTAAAATCTTCGTAGAATTAAATTAATTTCAATAATATCAAAATTCAATTTATTTTTAATATCTACTATTTCAATAAAAATTCACAAAAGAATTAAATTATTTAAAAAGAAATAAATTATTAAAATTCATCGCAAGAATTAAAGTATTTTTCATACATAATAAAATTCTTCTCAGGTATTCAATTATTTTCAATACAATTATTAAAAAATTCGATTGTATTCAATAAATTAAAGAAATTTTTCCAAAAAATTCAATTATTTTCCAAAAAATTTTAATAAAATTCAAGAATTTAATGCTTAATTTCAATTATTAAGAAAGAGGATTATTATAAAAACTTGAAAGAAATTATTCATATAGAATTCAATTACTTTGAAAACTTGTAATTAAAATTATTAAAGAAAGTCCATTATTTTAGAGAAACTGAAAGAAATTCTTCAAAAGAATTTAATTAAGATTATGTAAAATTTTAATAAAATTCTTCCTAAATTCAATTATTTTCATAAACAATAAAATTCTTTGCAAGAATTCAATGATTTGCAATTTTTTTCGCAATAATTCACTTGTTTTCATAAACAATAAAATTCTTCGAAGAAATTCAATTATTATCAAATTTTTTGATAAAATTCTTTGCAAGAATTCAATCATTTGCAAATGTTTTATAAATTTTTTCGCAATAATTCAATTATTTAACGAAAAAAAAATTAATAAAAGTTCTTCATAAGAATTCAATTATTTTTGAAAATTTTAATAAAATTTGATGCAAAAATTCAATTATTTTAAAAAAGTTTGATAATATTCTTCGAATCAATTCAATTATTTTGAAAAATTTTAAAAAAATTCTCGGCAAAAATTTTAAGTATTTTCAAAAATTTTCCTCAATTCAATGATTTTTATAAATATCTACAAAAATTTTTCAAAAGAATTCAATTATAAAAAATTTTATTGAAATTCTGCGCAAACATTTAATTAAAATTCATAAAATAATTTAAATTTTCACAAGGAATTCAATTATTTTCCATAAATAATAAAATTTTTTAAGGAATTCAATTATTATTTTCATAAAAAATAATTAAAAATTCTAGAAAATAATAATTTAATTAAAATGATGAAAATTTGATGAAGTTACAGTAACAATATTCTTATAATGTAAAATAATGATTTTATCTCTCGGTCATCTTTAATTTATTAGAAAACATGAAGAAATCGATCACTCCGAGTCTTCGACTCGGAACAATTGATATTTTCATGTTTTATAAACAATACTTTTATAAGTTGTTTAATTTAAAAAAGGTTTGAATTTTGAATTTTTGAATGTCTTAATTCCTGTGGAAAATCCTGTTCCAAAGATAAGATTAAAAATATAAATTATGCAAATATTTTTCTTCTTTTTCTAAAACAAAATAATAATTTTCTTAAAAAAATTGTGATTCAAAAAGAAAGTTATGGAAAATAAATAAATTTTCTATTTCTTAATCACAGTTGTTTAATAATTTTCTAATTTTTTTAGAAGTAAAGAAGAAAAATAATTTCAATTTGACAAAACATAATATTTAACAAAATTTTAGTCTTTTAATGAAAAGAAGTAAAAAAAATTCTGATGATTTCTATTTTCTATCTAAAGTTAACAAAAAACAAAAGTATAAACAAAAGACAACTTCAGAGTGTGAGGGACAGAAAAAGTGAATGAAAGAATGAAAGTTTATTAAAAAAATTTTTTAAAAAAATGCTATTTCTTGCTTTACAACTGGTTCACCTCCCTTAAGGAAGCTACCTACATTTATAGGGGTGGAAAAATCGATTTTTGCATAAAAATAGTCATACTTGAAATATTCAAAAGTTTTCTGAATATATATTTTCAAAGCGAAACACCGTAAGCTAACAAAGGAGAGATGGGTAACTGTGGCACTGAGGTATTCCCTTTGTTGTTTGAATCAATTTGTGTATTACAAACAGGAAGAATTGATATATGAAGCTGAAATAGCAGATTAAAATATGTAAGCACTTTAAAAAAGTTTTTTTAATATCGTAAATTCCTATTTTTTAGATACTACAAAAAATGTACCATCCTAAAGTATATTATCTCCTATATAATATTAACATATTCGTCGTCGTTTTGTCGTCCGTCGTTCGTGTACTTCCGTACTTCATCGTTCGGTCGTTCGACTTTTATCATTTACATATTAATTATCAAAAATAAATTACAATTAATTATTTATTTGTTATTTTGTTTCTAATAGTTTTCTAGTCAAAATTAATTAATATTATTTTCATGTCATTAACATTCAAAAATTCAATTATTCAGAAGAATTCTACACAAAATCACTATTTTTCTAAATTTATTCAGGGAAATCAGGAAAAAGTCAGAAAATTTTGTCAAAAGTGCTGGAATAATATTCAATTTCAAGAATGCATAAGAAAATTCTGAATATGTTATTCTTCAGCATTGAAAAGATTTTATATATTTCAAACTCTTCCTGTTTTTAACAATAATTAGACTTTACAGATTTAAAATTGATTTTCTTCAATAATTTAATTTTTGAAAAACTGTCGAGAAAAAATTATGTTTTATTTATTATTTTGAAATAATTTTTTATTTAAAAATTAAAAAAATAATTGAATTTTATGAAATTTGTATTTAAAATTTTTTTATAAATAATATAAATAAGCAGTAAATGTCACGCCTGCCAAACAAAGTATTTAATTTATTATTATTATTATTATTATTATTATTATTATTATTATTATTATTATTATTATTATCATTACTCAAAAGAAATTCGATTATCTTTACAAAATTTCAATAAAAAATTCTTCGAAAAATTTATGAAAAATTACAAAAATGTTATCTTTTGAAATTATTACAGGTGATACACGGAGAGAGAATATATATTAAATTTTGTAAAAATATTTTCAAATTGGGGAAAAAGTGCGACAAAGCGAAATTTTGATATCAAAAAATACTAAACTTTAAAAAAACTTATATGAAATTTAGTAAAGTTATATTAGAATTTAATTAATATTCTTGATATTTGATATAATTATACTAAATTTCACATAAGTTTTTTTAAAGTTTAGTATTTTTTGATATCAAAATTTCGCTTTGTCGCACTTTTTCCCCAATTTGAAAATATTTTTACAAAATTTAATATATATTCTCTCTCCGTGTAGCTAAAAAAACGCGCGTGTAGTTTCTCCTAGTATTAATAGATAATTAATAATAATGCCTATTAACAATAAAAACTGGTACTTAATCACTTAACTACTTAATCACAAAAAATAATTAAAGAATTAAAAAAAAAAAAATTTGTGCAAAAATTATGATTATAAAATAGAAATATTATGCATATTTATTCATTTAGTAAGAAAAATGAATTTCGTTAAAAATTGAAATTTACAAAATGTATCACTGCTTTGCTAACTTTGCATAAAATTTCATATTTGTGCCTTCAAAAAATGAATTTCAAAATGTTTTGATAAAATTCTTTATCAGACTTAAATTTTAAGAAATTTTAATTATTCAATAAATTATTTATTTTTGCATTTAAATTATTGAATTATCTAATAAAAATTTATTTAAAAATGAATTTCAGTTAAAGTTCTACATAATAATTATTGAATATTAAAAGCATATTATAGCATGAATTTTAAGAAATAATTAAATTTTAAAATGGTTCCAAATCAAATTCTTTAAAAATTTGTATTTTTCATACTTATAACTAACAATTCTGTATAGAATTAATTATTTTAAAAAAGTTGAATTGAATTTTTTTCTGAAATTATTCGAAGTATTTATTGTTTAATTCGTATTTAGTTGAAGAATTTCTGAATAATTTAAATTTCGTAAAGAAATGGATTTTAAAATTCTCAAAGAACTTTTTTCAAAAATTATTAAAAATAATTTATTCCTGCTGGGAAAATAATAATGATTAAAATTTATTTAGAAAAGAAGTTATTGATGTTTTCAAATAATTTTAGAATTAAAGAAATTCATAAATAAATGTAATGGAACATTTTTTGGAGTATCTAATCATTTTTAGAGTTAATCAGAATATTCTTTAGAGTCAGGCATGCGCAGTAGTGTTCTATCAATAATACGCATGCGCAGTAGTGTTCTATCAGTATCAAGCATGCGCAGTAGTGTTCTGTCAATGTCAGACATGCGCAGTAGTGTTCTGTCAATGTTACGCATGCGCAGTAGTGTTCTAACACTATAAAGCATGCGAAGAACATTCAGAACTTCAAAATTGAATTTTTTAATCCATACACAATCTAAAAATTATTTTTCTACAATACAAAATTTCCAAAGCCCAAAATGTTCAAAACATGAAATTTCCAAAATAAGAAGTGTTGAATTGTAATGTAAGTGAAAAGAATTAGATTATTGAGCATTAAGATTTAACAATATTCTATTTCTGTGTAAGATATTTTTAAAAAATCATTATTGTCAATGTTTTACAAAAATTTAAATAACTTCTAAAAACATGAACACTTTTAATGATCTTAAGCTTACATTAAGGGTTATTTTCTACAGAATGGGAATTACTTGTAGACATGAACGTGTAATTTTCTCTTAGAAATTGCAGGTCGGCAAAGTTATACACAAAAATTTCAATTTGAAATAATTTTTTTGTACAAAAAACTATTCTTCAAAAAATATAAAACATGATATGATGTAGATTTTTCAAGAAAATTTAGTAAAAAAATATGTTTGAATTTTAAAAATTATTTTTCTGTTAACCCGTTGCCTGTTGACGACCGTTGGATAGTAAACTTCTTAGCGCAAAATAAATGCAATTTCTTATGTAAATTATAAAAGTAAATTGTTTTATATCATTATTAACACACTATTCATTGCAGTGATTCTAAATTAAGTAATAAATAAATGATCATTTATTATTTTTAAATAATATAACAATTTAAAAACAAGTAAAATTTATTTTTAATTTAAGTCACATTTAGTGTATTTTTGAAGTCGGTGAATTTAATTAATTTCAAAAAATTCAAAATTTTCATCATTTTTGAAATTTATTTGGATTTTTATCAATTTCAGTATCTAGGGATATTTTGCTGAACATTTTGGGCCAATCATATGATTATTATTTTTCCAAACAGCGAAGGGGTTTATAAGATTGTTTCAAATTTTTTAATTGTCTAATTTTGATACATTTCGCTTAAAGTTTGTAATAATAACAAATTGTTAACATTATAGAACAGTATGAAGCTATAGAATTTCTTAAAAGTGACTTAAAAATTTGTCCACCATATTGGATTCATCATTTTCAATTTCTACAAAGTAACTTTATATTTATAATCTTCCACCCCAAAAGCCCCCGAGTAACATCACGTTTTAAAGGGAATAGGATCAAATTTGAAATTTTTTTTCGCCATATTGGATCCGCCATTTTAAATTTTTAAAAAGTGACTTTACACTTTTATTCTAACTTTTGAATTTTTATTTATACAAAAAAATGTCTAATTTAACTCGCATCTGCAAAAGAAAACATTGACAACCAATGTTTACAAACTTGAATGTAATTTGGCGAATTATCCGGATTAGGAAAACTTTATATAATACAAAAAGAATTTTATTTTTCAACTTTTGCTATCATTTTGTTGATTTGCTCTTTCCTTGAACATAAATCTTCAGCGTTAATTACTTGTATTCATAAAGAATACGAGTAAGAATGGTGGATATTTAAATTGCAAGCTTCTTGTTAAGTTCATAAGCTTATCGCGTCATTTGAACTAATTTTATAATGTTTGTCGAAAGAGAGAGAGAGAGAGAGAGAGAGAGAACTAAGAAATAGGTCTGGAAATAAATTGTTAGAATGTCAGCGAACTGGACTAATTAAATATTACAACCACTGTTTTCGAGCTCTCGCTTCAAAGTGCAAACTTCGTCACTAGAAAAGGGTAGATGGCAAGGACGCGAGGTTTATGAAGAGTAGTACCGCGGATGCAATGTTCAAAGGAAGAAATAGGCAAAGTGAAGAAGAAATTACCAACACAAGTAAACAAAATTCGAAATGGCAAATGAGACCAAGCTGAGTGCCAGTGAAAATTAAATTACTCTGCAACTGACACTATATATATAAACACACCACTTTCTTATCCTATATCTTTCCAATCATTTTCTTGCTCTCACCAAGTTTCTCCTGGTCTTTTACGTCCCATTTCTGAATGAAAGTTAAAACATTTTAGATAACTTCAATTAATTGCTATTTCAGAGTACTTTAATTAGTTTGCTCACGTCGTTATATTTCTGAATTTGCTCAAATTAAAATTGAGTTACGCAAGTAATATATTAAATTGTATTCTTTTTAATTCTTACTGATTTTTTAAAATACGAATCAAAACATACAATGTTGCTACTATGCAAATTTAGATGCTGTTGGGATGAAAACTAATTATTTGATATATAGAAAATTCGATGTTTTAAAGAAATACTCACTGTAAATAGGAATATCCATTGTAAAGAAATACAATCGTGAGGGAAATAAGGGCGAAAATAAGACCACCAAATATGGGCCCCAACACTCCAGCAAGTCGATTATCATTTACAGGTCCTCCAGAGTTCTCAGTCTTCAACACTTGAACGCCCTCATCTGCATTTAAAATAAAATTAACTATAGGTATTAATTTGAATGTTCTTTCATTCTTTCATTCACTTTTTCTGTCCCTCACACTCTGAAGAATTGTCGTTTGTTTATACTTTTGTTTTTTGTTAACTTTAGATAGAAAATAAAAATCATCAGAATTTTTTTTACTTCTTTTCATTAAAAGACTAAAATTTTGTTAAATATTATGTTTTGTCAAATTGAAATTATTTTTGTTCTTTACTTCTAAAAAAAATTAGAAAATTACTAAACAACTGTGATTAAGAAATAGAAAATTTATTTATTTTCCATAACTTTCTTTTTGAATCACAATTTTTTTTTAAGAAAATTATTATTTTGTTTTAGAAAAAGAAGAAAAATATTTGCACAATTTATATTTTTAATCTTATTTTTGGAACAGGATTTTCCACAGGAATTAAGACATTCAAAAATTCAAAATTCAAACATTTTTTAAATTAAACAACTTATAAAAGTATTGTTTATAAAACATGAAGATATCAATTGTTCCGAGTCGAAGAAAAAAATAATAATTAATATTAAAAAAAAGTGATCGATTTCTTCATGTTTTCTAATAAATTAAAGATGACCGAGAGATAAAATCATTATTTTACTGTAGGATTTTCAGTTTAAAATAAAATCAATAAAAAGATCTTTTAGTGGAATAAATTTAAAATTCAAAATAGTGCCGGTTTAGTTCTGTAGGTGTCGTGAGTGTAAAGGAAGAAGGGCGCTCTTGCGCATAAAGACAGTATATTTTAATAGACGCTACACGATGCATGTCATTTCTTTTTATCCGTTGTATTAATTATTGTATTAAATAAAGTTTAGTGTTCATATTCTATATCTTGTAGTTTACAATTGGGGGCTCAACCGGGATACGGATATAGTTAAAGAAATGGAAAAACGCGAATGAGATTGTACGTGTAAAAGATGAGTTAAAAAAAAAAAAAACGTGGCCGAGACGAGAAGACGCCATCAAGACGAAAGACGATATAAAGACGAAAAGACGCTATTAAGACGAAAGACGTATAATAAATAAACTAAAAGACTGAGATTTGTTTCGAAGTACGGAAAAATAAGTTATATACAGTTGGATTGTGTATATATTAAACTGACGAACGCGTTGTGTGGCATTTTGTGAAAAAGCAGTGGACAGTGGTTCGGCGGCCATTTTCTTTTGCAAGTGATTTGATTCGAGTGGTGTATTTGTAAGCATGGAGTGCTTAGAGCAAATCTCGTACATCAAGAAGAAAATAAAATTGGCCTCGCGAAAAACAATAGTGGCTTTTCACAAAGTTGTTTTTGAAGCCGAAGGTGATAGAGGGAATCGCCAGAGACTTAGAGAATGGGCAGGGTTCACATTTAGCGAAGATTCCGAGGAGTATCGGGATAAAATGGAATATATGGGAGCATTCTCTATTGGTGATCTAGTGTCAATTTGCAATCTGCTGGGAATTGATCATGAAGGAAATAAAGAGCAGATGAGGCAAAATATTGTCAAGTCATTGATGGATATAAACTCTCTACTTCCAAATGAGGATGACGACGAAGTTAGTCTAGATAGCAGTGATGGAGATCTAGATGATGGGACGAACAATAAAAATGAGACGAACAATGGCGAAGCAAGAAATGAAAGGAACACTGGTGAACAAAGAAATGAGACGAATATGATTGGAAATGGTACAAACGGAACTGTGCAAAGGAATAATGCTGGTAATCACGAAGAGAACAACGAACAAGAATACAATTTTAGAGGCGAAATTGGCTTTGATCAGAACAGTAATCGAAGTTCCATGAAGTTCGCTTTAAGCTACAAGGATGTAGAAGATTTTATACGCCCTTTTAGTGGAGAAGACGATTATCCTATTGAAAGATGGGTTTTAGATTTTGAAGAAGCAGCCGTATTGTTCGATTGGGACGATCTTCGAATGTTGATATTTGCTAAAAAATCTTTAAAGGGTTTAGCGAAAACTTTTGTGCAAGGGGAAAAAGCCGTGAGATCGTGGTCAGAACTTAAGAAATCTTTAAATTTTGAGTTTTCATCTAAAATGAATAGTGCTGATCTACACAAGCTGCTGACTGAGAGGAAGATGAAAAAGAATGAAGGAGTTCGAGAATATTCAATTGCTATGAAAGAATTAGCTTCTAGAGGATCAATAGAGGATGACGCACTAATTGATTATATCATTCGTGGTATTGAAGATGAACCAGCAAATAAGGTTATGTTATACGGAACAACAAAGTATAGTGAATTTAAAGAACGTTTGAAAGCCTACGAGAAAATGAAGAAGATGGTTCCAGGGACAACAAAATCACAAAAAGGACAACGAGAGGATTATTCGAAGAAGATGTCGAAACAAGGTGAAGTGAAAAGTGCTCCAAAAAAAAGTGACAGATGTTATAATTGTGGAGAAGTTGGACATCGATCGAGAGAATGTTCAAAAAAGTCGCTAGGTTCGAAATGTTTTAAGTGTGAGGGATTTGGACACATAGCGAAAGACTGTAATTCGAATTCTAGCAAAGTGGATGTTAAACGAGACTGCAATCTTGTGAGTTGTGTCGCCAATAAATGTGAAAAGGACGTTTTTATTAACAATGTTAAAATTGTCGCATTAGTTGATTCGGGCAGTGATTTAACGTTAATTCGAGAAGAGCAATATAAAAAAATAGGTTCACCTGCACTTTCAGATCGACATATCCAGTTTCGTGGCGCGGGATCAGGACGATTTGAGACATTAGGTGACACGAGTGTGAATTTGATTATAGATAACGAGGTCTATTCGATTGTTGTTCATATTGTTCCGGACGGAGTAGTGCAGAATGGTTTAATTCTAGGAACAGATTTTCTACGTTCAGTCGAACTAAATATCAAGAAAGGTGTAGTGACAATCACTAAAATAGAAAACAGTGACAGTGATTTATTAGAAGTGCTCAAAATTGATGTGATAGAAAACAATGAACTAGATTTAACGCACATTAAAGATGAAAGTGTTAAAAACGAGGTAATTGATTCGATTATGAACTATTTACCGGAGAAAATAAAAGAGACTGGTGTAGAAATGCGCATTGTTCTAATGGACGATATTCCTGTGTATGAGCGACCGAGAAGATTAGCGGATATTGAGGAAAAAGATGTTGAAAAACAGGTTCGTAAATGGTATGAAGCTGGTATCATTCAGCTTTCGATATCTGATTATTGTAGTCGTGTTGTACCAGTTCCGAGAAAAAATGGTCCAGTGAGAGTTTGTGTCGACTATCGCAAAGTCAATACGAAGACTGTTAAAGTTCGGTTTCCTGCACCAATCATTGAAGAGCAACTAGACAAACTACAGGGTGCAAAAATATATACGACGATGGATATGGAAAACGGATTTCTCCATGTGCGGATAGAAGAAGGAAGCAGAAAATATACCGCGTTTAGTGTACCGAGTGGACATTATGAATTTACGAGAGCCCCGTTCGGCTTTTGTAATTCACCTGCATATTTTTTCAGATATGTACAAGCGGTATTTCGTGAATTGATTAGAGAAGGGATCGTCGTAGTGTACATCGATGATTTTGTGATTCCATCAGACAACGTGGAAGAAGGAGTGGAAAAGCTACGTCGTGTACTAAAAGTGGCTAGTGAATACGGACTGAAATTCAACTGGCAAAAGTGTCAGTTTTTGAAAGAGAAAATTAACTATCTCGGCCATATTGTTGAAAGTGGAAAAGTGTCGCCTAGTGAAGATAAGACGAATGCCGTGAAACACTTCCCTAAACCGAATAATGTAAAGGCTGTACAAAGTTTCTTAGGATTAACCGGGTATTTTAGGAAATTTATTCCACAGTACGCGTTTATTGCTCGACCTTTGTCGTATTTACTTCAGGAGGAACAGGAATTTCAATTCGGAGAACATCAGGAAAATGCATTTAATCAATTAAAAAAAGCATTGAGTGAGCAGCCGATACTCCATTTATTTAAATCAACAGCTGAGACGGAATTACACACGGACGCATCAAGTTTGGGATTTGGAGCAATCCTATTGCAGCGTAGTGATGATGACAATCTTATGCATCCAGTGTATTATGCCAGTGGTAAGACATCACCAGCGGAATCAAGGTATGATAGTTACAAATTGGAAGTTTTAGCTGTCATCAGGGCCTTGAAAAAATTCCGAACGTATTTACTCGGAATAGATTTCGTGATTGTGACGGACTGTAAAGCATTTACTCAGACTTTAAAGAAAAAAGATCTATCTGTTCAAGTGACAAAGTGGGCTCTATTCTTAGAAGAATTTCGATACAGGATTGTTCATCGACCAGGAAACAACATGCGTCACGTGGACGCGTTGAGCAGGTTTCCTCTACCTTCTGCAATGATAATTAGTCAATGTGAGACAGGTCTTGTAGAGAGATTACGTTCAAGTCAAGAAGAGGACGAAGAATTGAAGGCAATTAGCGAAAAAATTACTGAAGGAGAGACTACCGATGGTTATCATGTTACGCGAGGACTTTTAATGATCAATTTGAAAGGAGAAGATCTAATTGTTGTGCCAAAATTGATGCAAACTTCATTAATTCGACAAGTTCATGAGAGTGGACATTTCGCTACTGCAAGAACAATGCAATTACTCAAAGATGAGTACTGGTTTCCGAATATGCAGGCGCAAGTTGAGAAGGTGATCCGAAACTGCATTGTGTGTATCCTCGCAGAAAGAAAGTCCGGAAAAAAGGATGGCTTTCTTCATCCAATCCAGAAAGAAGCTCCATTAGATACGTATCACGTCGACCATATTGGGCCGATGCCATCGACAAGTAAAAGTTATAAGCACATCTTGGTGGTAATAGATGCTTTTACCAAATTTGTGTGGTTTTACCCAACGAAGAGTACAACGTCGTCAGAGGTAGTAGACAGGTTAACAAAACAAGCGTTGGTTTTTGGAAATCCAAGGACAATCATTACAGATCAAGGGACTGCATTTACTTCCCAGGAATTTCAAACTTTCTGTCAACGGGAAAATATTCAACATCATGCAATTGTGACTGGAATACCAAGAGGAAATGGCCAAGTGGAGAGGGTCAACAGGACGTTGATTCCTATGATGACTAAGTTATCCATGCCTCATGCTGAGCAATGGTACAAATTTGTTGGAATAGCTCAACAGTATTATAATCACGCACCATGCCGAAGCACAGGTTTCTCTCCGTTTTTTCTTCAGTTTGGAGTCAAAATGAGACTAAAGGAAGATTTACGTGTGCAAGAAATTTTGGAAGAAGAGACTTTATTGGACTTTCAAGAAAAACGCTGTGAGCATCGTGAAAAAGCTCACGCACAAATCAAAAAAATGCAAGAAGAGAATAAGAAGAGCTATAACCGAAAGCGAAAAGCTCCGCATGAATACGAGAAGGATGACATTGTAGCTATTCAAAGGACTCAAGGAGGTCCAGGTTTAAAGTTCCGGGCAAAATATTTGGGGCCTTACAAGGTAACTAAAGTATTACGGAATGATCGGTACATCGTGGAAAAAATCGGCAACGGTGAGGGTCCAAAAACAACATCAACAGCGAGTGATCACATGAAACAGTGGTCAGAGTTTGAAGAAAACTAGTTCCCAGTGCCAGAACATCTGAGGTCAGATGTTGTCAAGATGACCGAGTGTAGGATTTTCAGTTTAAAATAAAATCAATAAAAAGATCTTTTAGTGGAATAAATTTAAAATTCAAAATAGTGCCGGTTTAGTTCTGTAGGTGTCGTGAGTGTAAAGGAAGAAGGGCGCTCTTGCGCATAAAGACAGTATATTTTGATAGACGCTACACGATGCATGTCATTTCTTTTTATCCGTTGTATTAATTATTGTATTAAATAAAGTTTAGTGTTCATATTCTATATCTTGTAGTTTACATTACATTATAAGAATATTGTTACTGTAACTTCATCAAATTTTCATCATTTTAATTAAATTATTATTTTCTAGAATTTTAAATTAGTTTTTATGAAAATAATAATTGAATTCCTTAAAAAATTTTATTATTTATGAAAATAATTGAATTCCTTGTGAAATTTTAATTATTTTATGAATTTTAATTAAATGTTTGCGAAGAATTTCAATAAAATTTTTTATAATTGAATTCTTTTGAAAAATTTTAGTAGATATTTATAAAAATCATTGAATTGAGGAAAATTTTTGAAAATACTTGAAATTTTTGCCGAGAATTTTTAAAAAATTTTTAAAAATAATTGAATTGATTCGAAGAATATTATCAAACTTTTTTAAAATAATTGAATTTTTGCATCAAATTTTATTAAAATTTTCAAAAATAATTGAATTCTTATGAAGAACTTTTATTAATTTTTTTGTTTGTTAAATAATTGAATTAGTGCGAAAAAATTTATAAAACATTTGCAAATGATTGAATTCTTGCAAAGAATTTTATCAAAAAATTTGATAATAATTGAATTTCTTCGAAGAATTTTATTGTTTATGAAAACAAGTGAATTATTGCGAAAAAAATTGCAAATCATTGAATTCTTGCAAAGAATTCTATTGGTTATGAAAATAATTGAATTTAGGAAGAATTTTATTAAAATTCTACATAATATTAATTAAAATCTTTTGAAGAATTTCTTTCAGTTTCTTTAAAATAATGGACTTTCTTTAATAATTTTAATTACAAGTTTTCAAAGTAATTGAAATATAAATATAAATATATGAATAATTTCTTTCAAGTTTTTATAATAATCCTCTTTCTTAATAATTGAAATTAAGCATTTAATTTTTGAATTTTATTTAAAATTTTTGGAAAATAATTGAATTTTTTTGAAAAATTTCTTTAATTTATTGAATAGAATCGAATTTTTTAATAATTGTATCAAAAATAATTGAATACCTGAGAAGAATTTTATTATTTATGAAAAATACTTTAATTCTTGCGATGAATTTTAATAATATATTTCTTTTTAAATAATTGAATTCTTTTGTGAATTTTTATTGAAATAGTAGATATTAAAAATAATTGAATTTTGATATTATTGAAATTAATTTAATTCTACGAAGAATTTAATTCAAATTATTTTGAAAAAAAATTGAATTGTTAAAAATTATTTCATTAAAATCTTTGAAAATTAATTTTAATAAAAACTTTAAGAGTAATCCCTTTTTTTTCATTAAGATTGTACCAAAAATAATTGATATTCTGCGATGATTTTTATTATTTATGAAAATAATTGAAAACCCACATAGAATTTTATTATTTATGAAAATAATTGAATTCCTAGTTAAAAAAAAATGTTATTCTTCATGAAAATAATTGAATTATTGCAAAGAAATTTATAAAAAATTTTGTAAATAATAGAATTCCTCTGAAATTTTTATTATTTAATTCATTCATTAAAAATTGTCATTTTCTAAAATTTCAAATTAAAATTTTTTTTAAATAATTGAATTCGTTTTGGAAAATATTTTATTAAAATCGTAGATATTGAAAATCATTAAAATTAGAAAAATTTCTGAAAATAATTGAATACTTTGGAGAAGAATTTTGTTATTTATAAAGATAATTGGGATTTTTACGAGAATTTTTTTCAAGATTTGAACATAGTTGAATTTAATAAAAAGAATTTTATTTTTTTAAAAGAATTTTTGCAATTATTTTTCAATTCTACAAAATTGAATTTTTTTAGTATTTTCAACAAAAATTTAAATTAGAAAATTTTCAAATTTTTAAAATTACTAATTTTATTTTAAAAAGGTAGTAAGAAGTTAGCCGCGCACTTAAGCGCGCGATTTGTTGCTAGTGAAAATTATTTTCCAACTTTCATATAATCATTAACATGCATATTGCTTGCAATTAGCAAATTGATAGATTAGAGTGTTATTAAGGTTGAAGTGCGCACGAAATTCTGCATACATAATTGAATGAGAACGATTTTTACAAATTTTTAACGTCGCATTATTATGCAACTAATTATTTATTTTCTTATTCAATATCGAAAAACAAAAATTAAATATCGGATCTTAGAAAAATATTTCTATTGTTTGAAAATAGCTTGAGGTATAAATTTTCTTCTATTTATCCGATGAATTTGAATTCATATTGTTATAGTACCTATCAAGTAGGATTCCAAAGTTCTCAAGGCTTCCAAGCTGCCTTCTCCAGTATATTGGCCTTTTTCTGCTATAAGAACTTCCACTCCACCTTCCCACGTCGTTCTTATGTACCAGGAAATTGAAGTGTGATACGATTTCAGTGCTTCATTTGTAAATCGACTTAGAGAACGAGTATAAACAATGCTCGAAAATGATAAACGTGCGCCACAATAAGGACAACAATGTCCTTCCACCTTTCAAGATTGAATAAAAAAAAAATATTAAAAAGTCATAGATTTCTTCATGTTTCATAATAATTAATAATAATTTTGAATAAAAATAATTTATAATAATTAAAATCATTATCAATTCAATTATTATTTTTAAGAATTTAAAACTAAAATTCTTCCGATTATTTTTTTAAATTTTCGAGAAAGTTCTTTGACAATTTTCAAATTCATTTCTTTACAATATATTCAATTTTACGAAATTTCAATTATTCGTAAATTCTTTAATTAAATAAATATTAGAAAATAGAAAATAAAAATAATATTTAAAAAAACCAATTAAACTTTTTCACAAAAAAAAAATTAATTACAAAATTCAATTATTTTTTAAAAATTCACGCTCTATTGCATTTAATATATTCTATTATATAAAAGTTAAACTGAAATGGTCATTTTTGCGAAAAGCTATTTTTGCGAATCGCCATTTTTACGATTTGTCAATTTTTCGAAAAGTCATTTTTATGAAAAGACATTTTTGTGAAATGTCATTTTTGCGAAAAGCCATTTTTGCGAAAAGTCATTTTTATGAATTGCCATTTTTGCGAATTGTCATTTTTGAGAAATGTCATTTTTGCGAATTGTCACTTTTGCGAATCGCCATTTTTACGAATAGCCATTTTTACGAATTGTCATTTTTACGAAAAGACATTTTTGCGAAAAGCCATTTTTCTGAAATGTTATTTTTACGATTAGTCATTTTTGCGAATTGTCATTTTTGCGAATCGCCATTTTTACGAATTGTCAATTTTCCGAAAAGTCATTTTTGCGAATTGGCATTTTTGCGAAAATTCCTATAGTAAACTTGTATGCATATATAGATTCACTATAGGAATTTTCGCAAAAATGACAATTCGCAAAAATGACAATACGTAAAAATAACTTTTCGCAAAAATGACTTTGCAAAAATGACAATTCGTAAAAATAGCAATTCGTAAAAATGTCGATTCGCAAAAGTGACAATTCGCAAAAATGTCATTTCGCAAAAATGCCATTTCACAAAAATGTCTTTTCGTAAAAATGACAATTCGCAAAAATGACTAATCGTAAAAATAACATTTCAGAAAAATGGCTTTTCGCAAAAATGTCTTTTCGTAAAAATGACAATGCGAAAAATGACTTTTCGGAAAATTGAAAATTCTTAAAAAGGGCGATTCGCAAAAATGACTTTTCGGAAAATTGACAATTCGTAAAAATCGCGATTCGCAAAAATGACAATTCGCAAAAGTGACATTTCGCAAAATTGGCTTTTCGCAAAAGTGCAGTTCGGTAAAATGACATTTCGGAAAAATGACATTTGGGGAATAATCATGCGCCCCCTTCGAGCCCTGAAGTATAGTTAAAATTATTTTTTAATAGAAAAAAAATTGATGGAGAAATATTTATCTTATAAGTGGGCGTATACAGTCATAATCATAAAAAAAAGTGGAGGCAGCATAAAAAATTATCAACATTTAAGGTACGTTAAAATTAATGTAAATATATTGTATTAAAAAATTACCAAATCAGGATTTTAAAGCATAGTGGAGCATGAACCGAAAGTAAGTATTATTCAACAAGATCTCTTCGAATTTGTGGACAAATTTATCATAATACATATATATGCATTACATTCAAATGAAAATTAAAAGCGAAGACATGAACAACTTTATATCTACTCGACAATATCATAAAGCAGAAATATTTTTTTAAACCCTAAAATATTGAACCATTTAACGTCGTAAAAAATTTGGTAATTTAAACATCGTTAAGTATATATATAATCTGTGCTGCAAGCGTATGTATTTCATCATAATCTGCATATACATTAAAGTTTATACCTACACCAAAGAAACTTTCTGAGCGAATAAGTAATAAGTATATAACAAAGTTTATGACCCTAGCGTTTCATATTAGGCAAATTCCTGACTTTATGTTATTAAATAAACTTCGTATGCAATGTACTCTAGCTAAACAGTAAATAATACTATTACATTGTTATTAAAAGTTTAGGGATCATGTATTCTTTTTTTAAGAATACATTTAAGAAACAAGTATTTTATAAGATTTCCAAAAAAATTTATAAAAATTTATAAAAATTTAGAAAAATTTAGAAAAATTTAGAAAAATTTAGAAAAATTTATAAAATTTAAAAAAGGTAAAATTTTATAAAAATGTAAAGCACGAACGAGATAAAGTATAAAATTAAGAATATTCAAAATTCTTATATAATACAAAGGTGACACTGTTGCAGCAAATGCATATAAAGTTTATCATAAACTAACCTTTAATGGGTTTTCACATTTTGGATATCCACATCTTGGCCTTTGTATATCACAAACTTCTTCAAGATAATCTTCTTGTTTTCCCTCTTGACATAAGCAACGTTCACAACTCGTTAATTCGCTGTAACTATAAAAGTAAGCACTTAAAAATTAGTTTATATTTTTTAACGTATAGAGGAAAATATATTTTACTAAAAATATTTATTGTAGTGTTTTAGTTTCGGAAATTGAGGTTGAATTTAAAATTACTAAATCAGGACTCGAACCAGTGAAAGTATTTAAAAATTTTAAAAATACGGACTTTACGGAACAAAAATTGAAAAATTACGGACCATTTATGCACCAATTATTGAAAAAATTATAACCCGAATAATTTTACTTAAAAATTAAATTCTTTATAACTATAAAACATGAAGACAAAGAATAACTCCGAGTCTTTGACTCGGAGTGATCGTTTCTTCATGTTTTATGTTAATTAATGACCGAGTGATAAAATCATTATTTATCAATTTAATTATTATTTTCAAGAATTTTTAACTAGAATTCTTCTTTGAATCGATTATCTATGTTAATTTTTAATAATTTTCAAAAAAGTTCAAAAAAGTTCTTTGACAATTTTCAAATCCATTTCTTTACAATATTCAATTTTACGAAATTTCAATTATTCGTAAATTCTTCAATTAAATATATTTATATTTATTCAAATAAAGGTATTATTAGAAAATAGGAACTTAAAATAATATAAAGAAAATTCAATAAAACTTTATCAAAAAAAAAAAAATTAATTTCAAAATTTAATTATTTCTAAATATTCACGCTATATTGCTTTAACTATTCAATTATTATCTAAAATTTTAACTGAAATTCATTTTTATGAAATGAAAATCAATTTTTATTAGAAAATTATTAAAATTCAATTTCCACAAAGAATTTTATCAACAAATTTTTAAGTAATATTGAATTCTTTTGACGAATTTTAATAAAATTTTAAAGAATAATTACATTTTTCCATGAATTCAATTACAAATTTCAATTGTATTGAAAATAATTGAAATTCTGCGATGAGTTTTATTATTTTGTGAAAATAATTAAATCCCTAAGCGAAGAATTTTATTGATTTTTGAACAATATTTAATTTTTTCGAAGAATATATTATTATTGCTCTTTAAAATAATTGAATATCTGCAATAATTTGTAAATTTTTTAAAATAAAATTTTTTTTTCTCGTGTTTTTAAATAAAATTTTTCTATAAATCCCCAATGGGAAATTTACAACTGGCGTAGTACTGCGCCAGCACTGGCAGCACTGGCGGCAAGGCTGAGAGCCAGCACTGGCATGGCACTGGGATGATAACGCCGTCTGGCGCTGCCGAAGTACTGTCTGTCAGTGCTGCCAGACAGCGCTGGCGCAGCACTGGACCAGTGCTGGCTGAGAATATTGCCGCAATAAATGCCGTATTTTTATTAATTAGTCGTAAATTAATAATTATAAATAATTTAACAACAAAATGGTAAATAATATTAATAAATAGTTATTATTCATAAAATATTTCTCTTCTCAAAGAAATTGTATTAAAGATGGAGACTAACAATGGATATAGTAAATTAAGTAGAAAAAAATTGTTTATAACATTTAAAAATTAAATAATAAACAATTACAGTAAGTGTGCATTAGATTTTCATACGTTAGAACCTAACGATTGGAATCTAGAAATATCGCAAACCTATGAAAATAAACAAAATTGCTGACGAGGGGAATCGAACCTACGACCTACGGACTAACAGACTAACGCTCTAACCACTATGCTAACGACACGTGTGTACAGTAAAGTATTAATATCTCAGTATCATTCAGACATACAATTATTGAGTCAAAGATGAGAAAAAAATAGGGATACGTTAGAAATAATGAATTGAAATAAAATAAATTAATTTAAATTTTTAATAATTAAATTAAATTACTTTACTTATTGCATTTAACATTTTACGTAATTCTTAAATTACGTGGTAATTTTTTAATAATTTTTTATTCATAGTAAGAAGTATAATATTATTTTAATAGGAACCAAATTATTATTGAGATTAAAGTTTAAATTTTGTTTATAATTTTAATTTGTTTAAATAGTTTATTATTTACAAAATTAGACAATTGTGTTAAATTGTTATTATTAAATTTGACAAGAATAAAAAATGAACAACTGAAAAGTAAAATATTAATTTTTTTCAATAAATTTATATTTATAAACATTCATAAACTTTTTTTATAATTTTTTTCAAGTCTATGTCAAAAAAGCAATGTTGGCAAAGAGCGTCGTGAACAATTTTTCTATACTCAGCCAGCACTTGCCGCCGTGGCTTGTCCAAGCTCTGGCGAAACAAAAATTCTGTACTGCGCCAGCACTAATTGTCGAGGCTCGGCTAGACTACGCCGAACAATCGTCTGAGTACTAAGCCAGTGGTGAACATCGGCACTACACTGGCATTTCCCATTGGGTCATTATTTTTAATAATTTTTGAAAAAGTTCTTTGGGAATTGTCAAATTCATTTGTATAAAATTTAATTTTACAAAATTTTAATTATTCGTAAATTCTTCAATTGAATATTAGAAAATAAAAACTTGAAATAATTTCAAAAAAAAAAAAAAAAAAAAATTCGTAATTAAAATTTCTGAAAAAAATTAATTCCACAGAATTGTTAGTTAAAAATTCAGATTCTTAAAGATTTTAATTTGAAACCTTTTCAAAATTCAATTATTTCTAAAAATTCACGCTCTAATGCTTTTAATATTCAATTATAATCGAAAATTTTAACTGAAATTCATTTTTATAAAATAAAAATCATTTTTTATTAGAAATTTCGACTAAAATTCAATTATTTAGGTACAAAAAAACAATATATTGAATAATTGGTTATTTATTAGAATTAAATACTCATAAAGAATTTTATCAATAAATTTTTAAATAATTAAATTTTTTCGACGAATTTTAATAAAATTTTTAAACATATAACTACATTTTTCGAAAAATTTGATTAAAATTTGATTAAAAATATTTGAAATTCTGCAATAAATTTTATCATTTATCAAAATTGAGATGAAAATAATTGAATTCTGAAAAGGAATTTTATTATTTACGATAATAATAATTGAATCCGTGTAAAAATTTTATTATTTATAAAAATAATTGAATGAAATTTATAAAAAAAATTTGTAAATAATTGAATGAAATTTATAAAAAAAAATTTCTAAATAATTGAATTCATGGGAAATTTTTATTATTTTATAAAAATAATTAAAGGTTTGCGTAGAATTTTATTAAATTTTGTTTTTTTATATAATTAAATTCTTTTGGATAATTTTTTTTAAAAATAGTAAATATTTAAAAGTTATTGAATTGCGAGGAAAGTTTTTTTTAAAAATAATTGAAATTTTGCCAAGAATTTTTAAAAAATATTTTTGTAAATAATTGAATTTCAGAGAAGAATTTTATAATTTCTAAAGATAATTGAAATTTTGACGAAAAATGTTGAAATTCATTTTTAAATCAATTTTTATTAGAAAATTCTACTATTCCTAAAAATTAAATTATTTAAATACAAAAAAAAAATTTTATTAAATCCATGTTTTTTAAAATATTGAATTCTCGTAAAGAAATTTTATCAATAAATTTTTTAAATAATTGAATTCTTTTGACGAATTTTAATTAAAATTTTAAAGAATAGTTGAATATTTTTCGTGGAATTCGATTAAAATATTGTAGATATATTAAAAATAATTGAATTTTATTATTTTTGAAAATAATTTGAATGCGAAGAAATTTATGAAAAAAAATTGTAAACAATTGAATTATTTTGTAAAATTTTATTAAAATAGTAGATATTAAAAATCATTAAAATGTGGAAAATTTTTGAAAATAATTGAAATTTTGTTAAGAATTTTATTCAAATAAATAATTGAATTTTAGAAAAGAATGTAATTATTTATAAAGATGCCCGTGTATGTAAATAAATACATAAATAAATAAATAATTAAAATTTTGCCGAGTTTAAAAATTTTTACATAATTTTTTTTTTTACATAATTGATTTTTTGCGAAGAATTTTATTATTTTTAAAAATAATTGAATTTCTGCAATAATTTGTTATTTTATATCAAAGACACACAAAGGGGTTAACATTGGGTTTGTTTTAATAATAACGAAAATAAAATCGAATTCTAACTTACCGGACTGTTCTTCTTGTACTTGAAAATTCCTTATCGTCCAAATGATAATTCCATTCAGATAATGGAATTTCCTTGCTGTCTAATAAAACCCCTTTGACCTTGACTCCTTGCATAGGCAAATGAATATTAAAAACTCGATTCTCAGATGGAAGAACAACCATATCTACTTGACAGGGAATTCTCTCCAAATGTGGAACAGCTTCTGATGTCGAATTCCAATTTTGTGGATCAGCCCAAAATAATGGTCCTTTCTTTGACCATGTTCCAATTTTTTCATTTTTTTCCAATTTATCAACTATCTGCGCATTTTATTAAAAAGGAAAAATTCTTAATATCTCTCTTCATTTTTTCATTTTAATTTCTTTTTTAAATTATAACTATATAACAAAATTACGAGTTTCAGGATTCTCCTCTACTTAATTTTTTCCTCAAGCAAAGTGAAAAAAATTTTCTGACTAAAACTTGTTAAATATATTTTCTGAATAAAATTTTAATTAAAATAAGATTATTGGCATTTTTTTTTTTTTTGCTATTAATATCAACTTTCTGCAATAATTTTTTACTCTGAAATTTTTATTTCTCAAGAAAATTGTTAGTGAGGATGCTAATATAAAAATATAAGATTGGGAAGGAAATGACAGTTATTAAAAGTCGACATTTTTAAAATTATAAATTCGTCATTTAAAAAATGGATTAAATTAAAAAGAGCAAAAATACTTTTTACTTTAATAATTAAATAAAAGAATAACATATATTTAACGTAATTTAACAAAATTACTGTATTTTAATTATTTTCCCAAAAAAATTAAGTTCAAGAAATTCATTTTTATTGTAAATTAGTAGTTCCACGTTAAAAACCCCTAAAAACCCTAGTTACCAAGTTTCATAAAAATTCAACGAGTTTTTTTTTTAAATTTCCGCCATTTTGAATTTTACTAATTTAACATCAGATTCGTAATCAGTGACCCTAAAAACCTCTAATTGTCAAGTTTCATAAAAATCCAATAAGTTTTTTAAAAATTGTCCGCCATCTTGGATCCGCCATTTTGAATTTTGCAAATCTGACTTTAAATTCGTAATTAGTGATTCCAAAAATCACCGCATAACGAATATTAGCAAATTTTAAATACTTTTTTCGGTTCATGAACAGATTTTTTTTATTCGGCTCATTGTGTAATGGCGGAAAAATTTTATTCTGTTTTGCAATACGAAATTTATTTAGTTATTTTTTTTATTAATTTTTTTTCGAGATTTCGTGTTTTACCGTTTAGATAGTTTATTACAGATTTTAATTCTCTCATATTGAAGGATTTCCCTGGAGTCACTTCAGAATAACTTCCACAAGTGGTTTCCGGAAATACCTATTACCACATCGGCTTTTAAAAATTCATAATTATATTATTTTTCACTTAAGTTAAATTAACCCAGAATTAACAGTTTTCTGAAAAAAAAAATTTTATTTTGAAAATCTGACATGAAATTCGTAATTAGTGACAATAAAAAAACCCCTCCAGTAATAATTCTGGTGATAAGTTTAATCAATTTTAATTTTTTTTTTAAATACGATTATATTTCAAAACAATAAAGTAAACAAATAAAATTCATTAAAATATAAAATTGATTTCAATGAAATTTTACAAAATTTTTAATTGTTTAATTTTTTTTAATTAATTTCAAAAATAAAAATTTTTATATTTTTTTATACTTTTGCTTCCCTTAAATTTTGAAAGGATTTAATTCAAAAATCTTTTAAAATTTAATTAATTTTCAAAATTCTAGTTATAACGGTTTATATATTCAATTAAAATTGAAAACTGAAAATTGAACTGAAATTTTTTTTTTATTTTTTTTTTTTAACTGAAATTTTGTTAAAATCAATTCTTATCAGAATTCAACTAAGAATTATTTATAATAGAATAATTTTTGTAAATTCATAAAATAATGTATTTTTAAAAATTATATTTATAGATATAATTTTTAAAGATGAAGAAATAAAATTCTTTAAAATGTAAAATTTATTTTAATAAAATTTTACAAAATTTCCAATTGTTTCAATTTTTAAATTATTTTCGAGAATTCAAGTATATCTTCAAAAAATTTTAATTAAAATTTTTAATTCTTCAAGAACCTAATGTTTTTCAAAATTTCCAAATTAAATCTTTCAAATTACGATTATTTTTGTAAAATAAATATTATATATAAAACAAAAAATTGTAATAAAAAAACACTAATTTCACGTGAAGACAGATTCTTCCGATTATATTATTAAACTACGAGTTTTATAATATTCATGAAAATAATAGAATTCCTAAAAAGAATTTTATTATTTACGAAAATAGTCAAATCTCAGTAAAAAAAATTTTTGATTATTCATGAAAACAATTGAATTATTGCGAAGAAATTTATAAAAAATTTATAAATAATTGAATTCCTGTGAAATTTTTATTATTTATAGAAATAATTAAATGTTTGCGTAAAATTGTCTTAAAATTTTTTTTTTTTAATAAGTGAATTCTGTTGAAAAATTTAATAACGAATTTGAAGAGAAAAAATTGAATTCTTTCGTGAAATTTTATTTGAAAACAATTGAATTTTTGCTAAGATTTTACTATTTAAAAAAAGAATGAAATATTGTTTCGAAAAATTTATTAAAATTTTAGAAAAACTTTAAAATTTTTTCGTAAAATTTCAAAAAAAATTGAATTGTGAAAAAATTTCAAAAAAATTGAATTGTTACGAAGATTTTATTAAAATTCTAGAAAATAATTGAATTTTTCCGAAAAAAAATTATTAACAATTTTTTTTTGAAAAAAAATTTTTTTATGAAATTCCATTAAAATTGTATTAAAAATAATTGAATTTTAGCAAAGAATTTTAATATTTATGAAAATAATTGAATTTCTACGCAGAATTTATTAAAAAATTTCGGAAAATAATTGAATTCTTTTGATTTACCAAAAAAATTCATTCTATTAAAAGTTTCCAAAATAATTGAATTCCATCAAGAATTTTTATTAAAAATGGAATTGAAAGTTAATTGCCCTAAAGAATTTTATTATTTTTGAAAATAAAATTGTATTCTTGTGAAGAATTTTATTAAAATTTTTCAAAATAATTGAATTTCGGAGAAGGATTTTGTTATTAATAAAGATAATTGAAATTAAAAACAAATTTTTTTTTAAATTTAATTTTTTTTTAGAATTTTTGAATAATATATTTTTTTTTCTTTCTTTAAAAATTTATATTTAGAAAAAATCTTTACCTGAAGTCCTCCATTTTTTGCCAGAATCAAGACACCATCAGCTGGTAAATTTATTGTCGACATTCGTAATTCACCCTCAGGCGGGAGACCAACAACATTTCTCATTTCAAGGGGAAAAATTATATGACTTCCTAAATCTGGAACACGTCCCTCCGCCCAATTATATTCACTATTCCATTCTTGATTTGGCAGCCAATGTTTATTTAATCCCAATGAAAATTTATTTACACCAATAAATAGAAGACACAGAAGAATTTTCATTTTCATAAAAAAAAAAAAAAAAAAAAAAAAATTCCAACCCAAAAATTATTTTAATTAAATTACTTATAATTAAAAAAAAATTTTGAAAAAAAATTTCACTTTCACCATTTAGAAATTATGTCGATATATTAGAATTTCTATTTGTCAACTAAACACAAATCAGTTATATAAATGAATTATTTTCACAAAATAGATATACATATATATATATATATATATATATATATATATATATATAATGAACTGAAGGAAATTCAATTAACTCCCTATCACTGCGCCTGTGGTTCATTATATTACGAAAAACAAAATTCAACGAGAGATACATTTAATCCGGATTTAAGGGGGGCGTTTCACCGCTGATTGTAGTGGGAGTAATGCGGTATGTGTTTATAGAGATTATTATATGCATTTAAGGAATTAAGGTGATTCTACGCAATGTAGAGAAACTACTTCAAATTAATTAAATTTTACGTCCATGTTTTTCTGATAAACAAAAAAAAAACAAAACGAAGAATTTATTAAATATTTTTGAAAAATTTTCAAATAATTCAAAAATATTTTTATTAATCTAAAAAAAATTATTAATGTTATTATTCATTATTTCTAAAAAAAATAAGCATTTTGTAACAAACATTTTAGGTAATTAACCAATTGTTAATCCTGTAAAATATTATCCTCTTTTTAATACGAAAAACTTAATTGTTTGACAAATCGAAATTATGGAGTTATTTTTCAAAAAAAAAAAAAAAAAAAAAAAAAAAAAAAAAAAAAAAAAAATACTTTCTCTATAGAGGAAGTAATTGTTGAAAAATTAGAAATTGGAAAATATTTTGCACATTTTCTGCTTCTCAATTAAAATTCATAAACAAAGTACAAGTTTTAAGTAAAAAAAAAAAATGTTGTAAATCAAATTTGGTTTAAGAAATTTTAAATTTATTTTGAAAAAAATATTTACAAAATTTCTATTTGTTAAAAACGATTGTAAAATTATTCGAAAACATCAATAACAAATATGGGATGGAAAAAATAAAAATAAAATAAAAAAAAAATATTTAAAAAAAAATATTTTTCCAAATATTTAATCATTATTATTTTTCCACAGGAATTGAAATTCTTCAAAAGATTCGAATTCAAACCTTTTTGAAATTTAACAACTTATAAGAATATTTCTTCATGTTTCATAATAAATTAAAAATAACCGAGTGTTAAGATCATTATTTTATATAATAAAAGTAATAATAGAAATAAATAAAAAAAAAAAAAAAATTATAATAGAAATATTTTTACTGTAACTTTTTCAAAATTCAATTATTTCTTAAAATTCACGCTATAATGCTTTTAATATTCAATTATATTATTTGAATATTTAAATAATTTGAATAATAAATATTCAATAATATAAAATTTTAACTGAAATTCATATTTTTATGAAATGAAAATCAATTTTTATTAAAAAATTCTACGTGAATTCAATTATTTAAATGCAAAAATTAAATAATAAATAATTTATTGAATAATTAAATATTTCTTAAAATTAAATTCTCATAAAGAATTTAAAAAAAAAATTTTAAATGATTGATTTCTTTTGACGTTTTTTTTGTAATTAAAATTATGGTAAGAAAAATGACAATTTTCGAGGAATTTGATTGAAATTTTATTAAAAATAATTGAAATTCTGCGATGAGTTTTATTTTATAAAAATAATTGAATTCATAAAAAGAATTTTATTCTTTTATGAAAATAATTCAATCCTTGTAAAAAATTTGATTATTTATTGGAAAATAATTAAATTATTGCGAAGAAATTTATACAAAAAAATTTTTAAATAAGAATTTTATTAAATAAATTCAAAACAAGAATTTTATTAAATTTTGGAAAAGAATTTGATTACTTTTGAAAATAATTGAATTTATGCAAAACTAAAATTTTTCTATAAATTTATTATTTGAATAATTAATTAAATATATATTAAAAAATGTAACTAATAATTTCAAAAGAATTGGAATTATTGAAATTTTTCAAAAATCTAAGTTCTTTAAAATTTCCAATTTAGTTTGATTTCAAAATTGAAATTTCTAAAAATTTCAAATTAAAACCTTTTGCAGTTCATTTATTTATAAAAATTGTAAAAGTAACTCTTTTAAAATAAAAATTGAATATTTTATATTAGAATTCGTGTTAATTTCACAGTTTATGAGGCAAATAAAAAAGATACAAAAATTCAGAAATTTCTTATGAATTCTAAAAGTTTAATTTAAAATTTTTTTTTTTAATTAAAAAAAATTTAAAAAAAAATTTTTTTTTCTGATTTTTTCTTAAATCCCCTGTTTCACAATCAAAATATATAATTATTGTGGTTATAATAGTAATAATCTATATTCAAATTCATATTTTATTTTTATGACAAAAAATTTGAATTAAAAATTTTTAAATTCTATTATTTTTAAAATTGCTAATTTTATTTAAAAAAGTATGTAAGAAGTTAGCCGCACGTTTTAGCGCGCGAATTGTTTCTAGTAGTTAATAATCATAATTATTAGATTTTCCCTCCTTATGAAATTAATAAAATTTAACTTAAGCTTCGACAAAAAGATTTTTTTTTTTGTTCAAAATTTACAATTTTTATATTATTAAACAATAGAAATTCAACTTTTTTTTTAAAATTACGTTCGTTATCATTTTTCAAAATTTTATTAAAAAAATCATTTGAGAAAATATGAAAGGAAATAGAATTTTATTCTCCTATATTCGAATGGTTTTTATTTCCTTTCATAGCTATTCGTATCCTCAAAGTTGCAATGAAATTGTATTCCCTTTTTTTCGGAAATTCTTTTGTAACTTTAGATAATATCAAAGGGCGGGAAAATACATGAGATTACTGGAGTTGAATAAAACACATTGATTAAAGAAAATACATTTATTTTAACATGAAGATTTTTAGGAAAAAGAACCAAATTACTCGGTTTTAAATTTTAAACATATTGAATATACATATTTTAAAAAACAAATACAAAGAAATTAGCAAAAAAAAAAAAAAAAAAATTATTATTTAATATTTAGAAAACTTCCTACAATAACAAGAATTTCTATTAATTATACAGTAATTAAAAAAGTTTGTTTTTTTCGCCTCACTGAACAATACATACTATGATAATGTATACTTTTTGTATTATTATAGAAACGGATATGTAGCTTTTAAATTTCGCATATTAGTTGACTTTTAAACATATATACTTTTTAAACAATAACATATACAAAATATGAATAATTCATTAGGAATTAATTTATTTTATTCTGCTTATTTTATTCCAAAACTTTGTTTCATAAAAGTTAAATATATTTTATAATAAATTGAATTAAAATTTATTATATATATTTTGAATTTAATGTCAAATGTTTTTGAAAATTTTTATTAATTCATTTTTTGAAGAGAATTATTTACAGTTTTGTAACCGAAATGATGACAAAGAGAGAAATAATAAGAGTATTCAATCGTTAAATTGGATTTCAAGAATTGAACCAGATTACCTCTGAGGTTTGCATAAATTATTGCTTTTAGCCCCCAGATTTTATATATGCAAACAAATATATATATGTATATATTTCTTTTCATTTTCACTTAAAATCGATAAACATTTTCTTCTTTTGTCCATAAAGAAAAAAAATGCAAAAAAAAAAAATTATTGCATATTCAAAACTTGTTGTGCAAAATTTATATTTTTACGCTTTTCGAGAAGTTTTACGAATATAGTCGAAAGAAAATTTAGACGAAATTCGTATTTTTAAAAGGAAAATAAAAAAAAAACTCGGAAGAAACAAATTTAAAGCGAATCTATTAAATTTTTTTTCGCCAGCCATATTGGATCCACCATTTTGAATTTTGAAAATCTAACATTAAATTCTTATTTAATAACCCCAAAAAACCTCGATTAACAAATTTTAAGAAAATCCGAACAATTTTTAATTTTTACCTCCGCCATATTGGATCCGCCATTTTGAATTTTTGAAAACCTATGATAAAATTCATAAGGAGCGGTTAATCCTCTGTAAATCATAAATTTTTTTTGAATAAAAAAATACAAAATTTTCTTTCATAGACTAACTTTTGTTTCGACTATGTCTGGCAATTTGCACAAAAAATGTACGAATCAGTATAATTTTCCATATTTATTCAACAATATTGTATAATTAAAGAAAAAATTTTTTTCTTCTAATTACCATTGCCTTATAAATGCTATTATTTTTAAAACAAGAAGTAACATGTTTTCATATACAATTAAAATTTTCATGATTCGAAATTAACTTCAGTTTACTTTATTATACGTACTCTGTAGTGTTTATGGAAAATTAGCGTATATATTAATTACTTTTGTTTAATGCGAGTTGTAATTATTCCTATTTAATGCGAATTATAATTAAATTCTGTGATTTAAAATTTATCCATTTTTTTGCAAATTTTTTTTTTCAAAATTTTCCTATTTTACAGAGAAATTTTCATTTTACAAAAAATCATATTATACATTAATTTGTTGCAAAAAGCAAGGGGCACACAAATTTTATTGAATCTTAAAACAGAAAATTTTTTTCCAATTTACAATCGACTATAATATTTTTCCAAAACTATATGGAGAATGTATTATAAGGAAATAATTTTTAGAGTGGATTATGCGAAGGGTTTTTTCTTATCCATCAGTACTCAACGATTTCGTCAAAAAAAAAAAAAAAAAAAAAAAATCTTAATTACAATGTATGTATAATTATTATAGAATTTTCTGTAATAATTTGAAGCGTTTCACAGACGTAAGTTTTAATTTATTATTTTTGTTTTTATTCTTATGACATTGATATGAGAATAATGTGTATTGTATTATGTCTAAAAGTAAAAAAGGAGACATCAAATTTATCAAATATGAATAATCTAATTTATAATAATTATATGGCATAATAATTTATTTATTTAATTCAGATGGCATTTGTGAGAAATTCAATTTTACTCTTGCCAAATATGTCCAATATCTACACAATATTTAAATAAGGATTTGAAACATTTTCCTAAACGAAATAATAATTCCAAATCATGTATTTACGGTATGATCAATAATAAACTTTTAAATCATGTTTCGAATCAAGAAAATCCCTTTTTATAACAGACAACTAATTTACATAAAGGAATTTACAAAATTTCGAAACAATTGTCATAATACTGTTTTGTTACAAATGATTTTGGAGAATTAAAGAAAAATTGAGTTTAAGATGATTTTTTTTTTTGGTGATTTAAGGATTTTGCGAAATAGCATCACCCTTATTAAGTCTTCTCATTAAATCGTAAACTTCGTATAAATTAAGATCGTGTGTGTTATTCTTTTCTTTTTTAATATTGTTGACCAATGATTCAGGATATGATGATTCACTTGATCTTTTTCCAACTCCAAATGAAAATCGTTGAGGACTGCGTTTGTATTGTGGTTGGCCATCTTCAAAATCGTTGAGACTCGGGTCGTAGGATGCATCAGACAAGTAGTCCATTGATTGATCGTCGTAATTAAATCTTTTACCAACGCCAAATCCATAGGTTTTGCTTCGTCTACCCACGCCAAATTCATATGGACGTGATCTCTATATTTAGTGCAGAAAATAAAAAAAAGAGAGAATAAGTTTTAATAAATATTTTATGAAGTGAGGAATTCTATTTGTAAAATTAAAACCGATTTTTGGTCGCAGTCATCAGGGGAAGTGCTTCCTGGTGCATATACTCGGATGTGATTCCCGAATATTCAAGAGCAACAGAAAGATGAAAATTATCTTTTGTGTTTTGGTACTGTCAAAACAATGGCAGCGACGACCATTTTAAATTAAAGATGATAAGTGAATTACTCGGGGTCCATTATGTAACTTCTCGACTTCTCGACTTCCCATTCCCACTCTCACTTCCCCCTTTCACTCTCACTTCCCACCTTCCACTCTCACTTTCCACCTTCCACTCCCACATTCAATTTCCACATAACACTCTTACTTCCCACCTTCCATTACCCTCTCTCTTTCTACATGCACTTTTCACATTTACATCCCACCTTCCACTTCTAAATTTCACTTTCCACTCCCACCTTCTTTTTTCTCCTCCTTCAGACTTTCACTCGCCATATTTCACTTCCCACATTCACTTACTACTCCCACTTTCCACTCTTTTTTCCCACCTTCCATTTCCCCTTTCTCTTCTCACATTCACATCCCACCTTCCTCTTCCTAATCTCACTTTCCACTTCCTTCCACTTTCTTCCTTCCTCCTCCTTCCACTCTCACTTTCCACATTCATTTACTACCTTCCAATTTCTACTACCACTTTCCACCTTCACTTTCTACCTTGCACTTTCCACTCCACATTCACTTCCCACCTCCCACTTTTTACGCTCACTTCCCACTCCCACATTCACATCCCACCTTCCACTCCCATCTTCTTCCTTTCTCCTCCTTCCACTCTCACTTCTCACATTCATTTACCACCTTCCAATTTCTACTACCACTTTCCACCCTCAATTCCTACCTTGCACTTTCCACTCCCACATTCACTTCCCACTCCACATCCCACCTTCCGCTTCCTAACCTTACTTTCCACTCCCATCTTCTTCCTTTCTCCTCCTTGCACTCTCACTTCCCACATTCATTTACCACCTTCCAATTTCTACTACCACTTTCCACCCTCAATTCCTACCTTGCACTTTCTACTCCCACATTCACTTCCCATTCCCATTCCCACATCCATATCCCACCTTCCGCTTCCTAACCTTACTTTCCACTCCCATCTTCTTCCTTTCTCCTCCTTCCACTCTCACTTCCCACAATCATTTACCACCTTCCAATTACTACTACCACTTTCCACCCTCACTTTCTACCTTGAACTTTCCACTCCCACATCCCACCTTTCGCTTCCTAATCTTACTTTCCACTTCTAACTTCTTCTTCCTTTCTCCTCCTCCCACTCTCACTTCCCACATTCATTTACCACCTTCCAATTTCTTCTACCACTTTCCACCCCCACTTCCTAATTTTCACTTTCCACTCTCACATTCACATCCCACTTTCCACATTTATTTACCACCTTCCACTTTCCAATCCCACACACATTTCCCAACTTTCACTTTCTACTCCTAGATTCAATTCCCACCATTCACTTTCCACATACCACTCTTATTTCCCACCTTTCATTTCCCTCTCCCTTTTCACATTTACATACCACCGTCCAGTTCCAAGCTCACTTTTCACTCACACCTTTTTTTTCCTCCTCCTTCAAACTTTCACTTGCCATCTTCCACTTCTCACATTCATTTACCAGCTTCCACTTTCTACTACCACTTTCCACCCTCACTTCCTACCTTGCACTTTCCACTCCCACATTCACTTCCCACATTCCACTTCCCACATTCAATTCCCACTTTCCACTCTTACTTCCCACCTTCCATATCCCTCTCCCTACCCATTTTCACTTTCCATATTTATATCCCACCTTCCACTTCCCTATCTCACTTTCCACTCACACCTTTTTTTCTCCTCCTTTAAACATTCACATACCACCTTCCACTCCCACTTTACACCTTTCACTTTCCACTCTCACTTCCCTGCTTCCACTTCCAATTCCCACCATTAGGAGGGGAAAGTGAGAAGCAAAATTGGGAAGTAAGAGTAGAAAGTGAAAGGTTGTAAGTGTGAGTGAAAAGTTGGATTGGGAAGTGAGAGTTGAAGATGGGATGTAAATGTGAAAAGTGGGAAGTGGAAGGTAGTATGTTTAAAGTTGAAGATGGGAAGTGAATGTGTAAAGTAAAAAAAGAAAGTAGGAAGTGGAAACTGAGGATAAAAAGTGGAAGTTGAGAATTGAATGTGGAAAGTGGGAGTAGAATGTGGAAAGTGGAATGTGGGAAGTGATAGTTGAAGGTGGGATGTGAATGTGGAAAGTGGGAGTAGAAAGTGGAAAGTGAGAATAGGAAGTAGGAGTAGAAAGTCGAAGTTGGGAAGTGAATGTGGAAAGTGGGAAGTGGAATGTGGGAAGTGAAAGTTAAAGACGGGATGTTAATGTGGAAAGTAGGAAGTGAATGTGGAAAGTAAAAAAAGAAAGTAGTAATTGGAAACTGAGGGTAAAAAGGGGAAGTTGAGAATTAAATGTGGAAAGTGGAATGTAGGAAGTGATAGTTGAAGGTGGGATGTGAGTGCAAAACAGTAAGTGGGAAGTGGAAAGTGTAAGGTGGGAAGTGAAAATGGAAAGTGAGAGTAGAAAGTCGAAGGTGGGAAGTGAGAGTTGAAGATGGTATGTGAAAGCAGAAAGTGGCAAGTGGAAACGGGGGGTAGAAAGTTGAAGGTGAGAAGTGAATGTGTAAAGTTAAAATGGAAAGTGGGGGTAGAAAGTCGAAGGTGGAAAGTGAATGTGGAAGGTGGGAAGTGAGAGTTGAGGATGGGATGTGAATGTGAGAAATAAGAGTTGAATATGAGATGTGAAAGTGGGAAGTGGAAACCAGGGGTAAAAAGTGGAAGGTGAGAAGTGAATGTGGAATGTGGGAGTAGAAACTGAAGGGTAGAAAGTGAGAGTTAAAGATGGAATGTGAATGTGGAAAGTGGAAGGTGGAAAGTGTAAAGAGAAAGTGGGAAGTAAGAGTGGAAAGTGCACGGAAAAAATTAATTTAGTACATTTTACGAAACTAATTTTGGAATAGCGGATACGGAGAGGAGTTTAGTATAAGATAAAACAGAATCAATAGTAATATATGATGACTGCGTTTCTCGAAAACTCAAAAAAAAATTCTATGGAATTCACAAATGATCGGTTGGACGTTCTAATTCAAGAGTTTTGTAAAATGTTTAGCCTGAAGCGCATGCGCCACGGAAAAAAATATTCACGGAGAAAAAAACGAATAAAGCAGAAAAAAGAATTTCTTAATGTACCAATGAGCTCTCAAGACCATTTTTTCTCGTCTTCTATAGGAGATAGATGATTGGTTCGACACATGTGACTGTACTCTACAACGCAATGGTTCGTTTGGATTGGCTTATTTTATTCTGACACTAACTTAACGGAAATACGCATACATATAAACGAATTCTGACGCAACGCACATACAATATAACTCGCACTTGTAGATGAAAGAATTGAGTTTCTTTATATACTAACTGAGGAGATTAAAACTGCGCTTGTGAGAAATGTCAATATACTGAATATTAATTTTTAAAAAAATCATTTTTTTAAAAGTTATACAAAATATTTTATGGTTTTTAAAATAACATTTTTTGATTATAATTAGTTATAAAATCTCTATAAAATTTTTCAATTTTTAGAAAATAATTTTATTCTTAATTTTAAATTATAAATAAATTGACAAAAAATTTTCAAAATTAAATTCAAACTCAAAAAATGTTTATATTAAATTGTCTAAAATTTGAAGTAATAACAGTTAAAACTTGAGAAATTAATATATATATTGTCATCGGTAAATATTATGATAAACTATAAAATTTATTGGACTGTAAATTAAAAGAAATTAATAATAATTAAAAGTTTGGATTACAAAAGCACATAAAAAATGTTACGAATTTGGAACAATGAAATGTGAAATACGTAAAAGAAAACAATTATCCAAATGTTACCGGCAGGTAAAGCAGTTCTCTTTTTCCTTCCACATATTATATCTATATACAGCAGACAAGTTAATACCGACGCGACGAGACAAGCTTCAACATATCTATTTATAACGCGACTTTTGGTACACCCCGTATAGAATTTTACGAAACTTTGTGTTCGAGAATTCACGATAGACAGCGAAGTGGAAACTCAAACCACGCGTTTTTAGATTGCACGAAACATTTTTACCATTTTCTGATAAAATGTTCACCAGAAAATACGAAACATTTCTTCATTCAAGCTTGTTTTATAAATTACAACACTGGTTGCAGTTTCTCGACAATTGTTCTGCTTAAAGTAGTGAAAGTTTCTGGGTTTTTGAAAAACTTCGTCTAGGAATCTTAAATATCCGCTAGTGCGAAATTAGTTTCGTAAAATCTGCTGAACTTATTTTTTCCGTGTGGGAGTAGAAAGTGGAAAGTGGTAACAGAATCGCCCCCCTGGTTGACTATAGATAAAAAGTCGTTCTATTTTATCGTCCGAAGCTAATTATCTACCGCGGATAAGTGAAAACTACCAAAACATCTACCATTAATCTAAACAGTGTTGAATAGTTTTCTAAAAAATATTATATACCTTTCCAATACCAAAATTGTAAAGAGGTAGTCTCTTATATTCGGAAACGTATGTATATCTCTTCATGGGTAAATATTGTGAAGAACGACTATTAGCAGCATAATCTAAATTGGCATTATTATCCCTGTCAGTATATGTACTTGCTTCCAGTGCCGAACAAAAGATACTCAAAGTGCTCAGTACAGAGAAAATAAATACTGTCATCTTCATTATTCCACTATATATTATTCCGATTCTTCGAAAGTTGATAAAAATGCCTGAAACATTATTCAAAACAAAACAATAATTAGTATTCAACAAAAATTAATAATTATATTTATTATGCAAAATATGATGGAAAATTAACAATTTAATATAAATTATTTAAATTTATAAATTTTAATCCACTCGGAAATATTTGTACTAATTTGATTCAAATAATTTATTCATAAAATCTTTTTTTCAAATTATTAAATTATTGAAGTGAAATTGTAATTTGTAATTGTGTGCACCACAATAATATCACTTCAAACCGGAAAGGGGTAAACTTTATCGCATAAACAGAGATTGAAATATTTTAACGATGATATGCCTTTGGGCATTTTTGGAAAGTTTGTTAATTGTTGTGTAATGAGTTTCCCTTACACACTGCGCGCTATTTGAATTTGAAATAAATTTTTTTATATAAATTATTCACATGCTTTTTGCATTGCAAATGTATAATTGCCAATTATAATAATTTCTTTAAAATAAATTTAATTGGAAATGAGAAATTAAATCCTATTTTGTAAATATCTGATTTAGGTAAATTATTTAGACAGATATGTCTAAAGTAGGGTTTAAAAGTTTTTATATACACCATGTTGCTTTCATTTTTACTATTAAGACTTGTAAATTGGTCAAAACATGAAAAATTATATTTGACAATTTTATGCAACCTTTTTGTATAAAATAATAGAATTAGACTGACGGATTGGTTTTGTTTTGAAAATTTATTTTTAACTTCAAATATCGATTTGTTGCAAAGAAAAAGAAAATCGATTCATTTTGCACATTTTTTCAAAGTTTTTTCTCAGTTAACTAATTTACTTTCATTCTTAAACTTGAATAAAAAAATAAAAAATTTTTCGGAATTAAATCTAGTTGTTTGATTTATTTTCCGATAAACACAAGTAATTAAGTAATTGAATAATATTTACCTAAGAAACTATTAGTATTTAACTAAGAAACTATTATCTTTAATTAATTACAGTACTCGACGAGTGTTATTCGTTCTGTCGATAAACAATTTATTTGTCAACACTAATAATTCATAATCCATTAAAGTAAGTATATCATAGAGGAAATGAGAGGAAATATATTTGGTCATTTGTCTCATATCTGCGTAGTGACTTTTAAGCCGCAGGCAAAAGTTCCGCTTTATTGATCGCAATTTAGTTTATTTTTCTTCTCCTCAAAGAAATGTCAGAAAATTGTCATTTTCATGATGGAACAGTATAAATATTTAGATAGAAATATAGAATTCATTTATTTACATCCTACCAATTACTTTTAAAAAATTTTCATAGTCCTCATGTCAATATTCTTTCTATATTCCTTAATTCCAAATTTCCTTCTTTTTGCGCAAAATTATTCTCAATTTAGTGTTTTCATGATGATAAAAAAATTATGATGATGAAATATTAAATGGACCGCAAATGGATTTAAATCGGTTATTAAAATTAAAATGTTGATTCCATTAGGAGTGGTAATAAGCATTTTCGACGGAGGAGATTTGAGCTGTCGTAATAGTTATGGCAGCAGTAGTAGCTTTGAGCCACAGATTTTATCACTCTTTGCACTGACATCGGAGAGCCAGGACAAGATAGCAATAACTGCGAGTGAGGAGTGGAAGTGAAAGAGAGGAAAAGTCGAATAAATAGCTTTCAGGAAGTGGGTGGGAAAAGATGGAAAAGCAGTTCTATTACAGAAGAAAATTTCTGAACAGGTGCTTCTCGAGTCAATAATGACCCTCAACGCCCACCACCCTAACAAAGCTGTGTTTATTGGCTGAAAAAAAAATTCATATCATATTTTACATTTGAAAAAACTTTTTCTGCACTCCCGCTAACGCAATGGAAAATATGCAAAAAAAAAATTGTAAACCAGAAATAAATTTATTTTATTCCTCTTTTTTTCTTTTCATTCACAAAAGTTGAATTTTACATTTCTGACAATCAGCAGAATGGACAATTCGCATCCCCATACCTTTTGAAAACAAATTTTTTTAATTCGCAATATTTCTTCATTACTCAGAAAAAAAAATTTATTCTCATCCTCTTTTCTGAGCTAAAAATAAAGAATGCTTAAATGCCCATTTTTTACAATCCAATTAAGAAGTTAAATTAGTTTTCGCAAATATTTGTTGTTCTGTAGCTTAGAAGATTAACGAGTTGTAAGTGAGAGAAAGGAATTTATTTCAGTTTCGTTAAAATTTATAGAAATAATGTTAAAATTTCTATTTTTTTTTAGAAGCAGGATAAAAAATGAACATGAGATGAATGATAAACGAAATGGTTCATCTTTTTTTCAAATAGTGTATAGGTATAGCAATTCAAACTCTCCCCTGTTACCCGTGTAGAAATTTCGCTATGGCCCGGATCAGGGACTGATCGGGCCTTCCATATTAGGGAATGAAACACACGGCCCGATATGGCCCTGATCAGGAAATCCACATTTGATCGTCGCCCCGATCTGGCCCAGGTCGGGCCGTGTGTTTCATTCCCTAATATGGCCATAATAGGGATATTTCTACACGGGTATATGTAATGTGTTTAAAATTGAATTTATGTCTTTGGGGGTAGAAAACCGCTGGTGCTTGTAGATTTTAAATTCTCTCTCTCTCTCTCCTTTTTTATTAGAAATGAGAATAGTTCGTAATTTTACACTTTTTTAATAAAAAAAAAATTCGTACTAAACACATTGTGATAAAAAAAAATGTTAATCTACTTTTCTTATTGATACTATTCATAAGAAATTTTTTTTCTGAAAATAAGAAAACAGTTATGAAATGATCAGAATCAAATTTTATTTAACACTCAAATAGTTTACAATAAATCAAATAAATGTGTGTTTAATATTTTAAACATTGCAGTTGTAGGTAACGGCTTATATGCTATACTTCCGTGGTTTGCATAACTATTTAAAAAGATTAATGAAAGTATTGCATTTAAAAAATTTATAAAGATTAACAAACAATTGTTTTAAATCATTAGAAACTTTGTGTAAAAACATTGATAAAATAAGAAAGAGCACCCATAAGAAACCACTTTTTAAAATTGCATAACCTTATTTAACAAACTTGAAAAAGATCAATAAAATTATTTTTGATACCTAATTTTTTTAACAAATTTATAAATATAACAAATTTATAACAAATAACTAAAATACCTAGTATTGTTTATAACAAATTTTTAAAATGATACAATTTTTCACCAATCCGACGATATTGTACAAGGAGAAAAAAGCAAAGACATAAAAAATTTAAATGTATAGCACTCTTAATCTATGCCTATTCTAAGAAAATTACCAAACGTATCTAACACGAAAATCGCGAAAGTAAAAACCTTGAACTTTATAACAAAAATTTTTAAAAAATCGATTTTGTCATCACTATAGAAACAAAAATTGCAAACATAATATAATTTTTAAACCATAAGTAAAATACAATTTTCGGAGTACATTAATTTATAATTTGATTTCAAAAACACACAAATACTTTATTTGACACTCGACTAACATTCTTACAATAGACAATTTTTTTGTTTTCCTATTTTCGAGTGCATGAATAGCATTGAAGGCCCAAATTGTCTAAATGTAATTCAGGTAAGCTGCCCTACAACGGAAAAACATACGTATAAGTGATACCTACTGTCGCTTAAGTCAATTTTTCTATAAATGAACATAAAAAAATGAACCTAATCGATAATGTTGCTTATCTATGTTTTTCTGTTGTAGAGCAATACGCGTTTCCAGGTGTATTTCTAGCGAAAGTTTCTGAAAATGTTTTCATTATGTCTTCCTACATGCATTATTGACAAAAAATGATTTTTTCTACAACCCAAGTAGAAAACCATATTACTTCAATAAAACTTCATTATTATATGACAAACTAGTAAATACTGCAATATTAAAGTGTTCGATGTAAGATAACATTAGTTAGCATAACAGTAATATTATGTGCTACATACTTGGAAAACAATACTATTTTCGGGTGCAATAGGCGCACTTAATAATTGCGCGTTTCTTAACCGACACTTTTTAGACGAATCTCTTTAGAAAATCAAAAATCTTTTCATCAATAATACTTGCAAAAATTTCAAATAGAAATACAAGAAGAGACAATGAAAATCCAATTGACAGTACATACAAGGAAATCAGCAATAACTTTTCTTTCTCGATTTCTGTAGGTGGCTCTAAAATCTGATGCTCCAGTGCACCACTTCTAAAGAGTTTTGATATGAAACCGCATTGTCCTGCTCTTATAATAATCTCCCTAAAACGGTCAGTGAACGGCGAAAAAATTCTTACTAAGAATCCTTCATGTACACTAGCAACCGATTCTAACAACAATTTTCCATTGAATTCTCCTCTTAACTCCCGTATACGATTAACATACTGTATTGCATTAGAGCAAATACAAGACACATTTTGATAATCATTCAAATACTGAAGGCACGCTAATTCTGATCTGTTATCCGGAAGTACAATAGAATTTTCTGATAATTTACGAATATGAGGGTTAGAACTTTCAGCCATTGAAGACATTAAAGCCATACTGTTTACTACAGGTTGCAAAGACGATGCAGCGAGTTCTGCGAGAGTTGTTATCTCTGGTGGGGATTGCAACGAAATGTCCAAGATGACGGAAAAAAAGTAGCCTGTATAAACGAGGCAAGCAACTACAAACGATCCAAACACTATTCTCTCCACCACTTTGACTGGTTCCTCAATAATAGACAATCCCATTATGATTTGACTGATGTTCAACGTTGTCCATGCACTTTCTCTGAACCGCATCATAATTGCAGTTAATTTAAGTACGCACATCATACTAACAGTTCCAAGAATCATGAATAGAAACTCTTGTGAAAAGACAATGACATTAGAAGATTTTGCAATTTTCGGTATTACAGCTTTTGCATCAGATTGAATTAAATAACCCAATTGCAGCGTAGCGACATTTACACCGTTAATTAAGAAAAATGTGTTTGCAAACATTTCAGCTCTTTGCCGATGT